TCAAGGGACAAAAATGCGCAGGCACAGCACAAAATCCTTTTTTAAGTAAATTAACTCAATTCTAATTGCAAATAATTGCGGCGATAATTGCAGAGGGGCACGCAGGGGCTTTGTCATGTGAGTAATTGAGCTGTCAACACTGAGACACCACCGCTTTTCAGCTTTTCAGGGAAGCAAAGTCAGTGGTGGGTCCACCGCCCACCAAATCGCTCCCAGTTAAACTTTCCAATTCATTCTAGCATCTCTCTTCTTCTATGATCCAACTGAAAAGCGAAAAAAAATCGCAGGCCTTCTATAAAAAGTTAACAAATTTTGATGACAACTCGTCAGCCAATTAAATCAGGGGCAAAGTAATCGCTAAATATGTGGCAAACGTGAACTGCCAGAAGTTGAAGCCTTTAACTTTGTTGCGATGTTTACTCCTGTGGCCCAATGTTGTTGTGTTGCTGTCGTCTCACCGTCACTGCCGACGCCTGTACATGCAACAATTGTTGCGTGTTCAACTGCCAATCAATGCCAATGAGTGCCTGACCACAGCAGCAGTGGCAGGGATCAGGGGCAGCACACAGTTACAGTCAAAACCGGAGGTATCTTTTAATTACGTTTTTGACTTTAACTTATAATAAGTGATACCTAAAAGTAAAGTAGCTAAAATGTTATATTTCTTATTTTTCTTATTTAAGACCTATCAAATGTGGAAGTATCATCAAAGAGGGCTAACTGTACTACCTTGTTGACCTGGTCTGTGACGGAACAAATATCCTAAAGTGCAACATGCACCAGAGCAGAAGCAACTGCGAGCAGCAGCAAGTTCGTCATCGTCATCGGCATCCGCGATTCGTTCGGTTCGCTTAAATAGCCATAAATATGTGGAGTATGCGCCATAGTTCCCGAGATTGCCTCCCCCTTAACCCGCCAGTGCCCATTGCCCAGAGCTCAACCAAACCCGTCCGCTTAACCCTTCCGCCTGTCCTGCGGGTTAAACGTGCTGCCGCTGTGTGGCGCCTAATGCGTGCGCCAAAACAAAACGTAAAAGAATTCTTAGAAAAGCGTCGCCGCGCAAGTAAGCAAAAAACGGAGTAAGGGACGGAGAAGTCCACATTCGAGTGGATTAAATGGCACAAACATGGCTAATTACATGTATTTAACACGCACGGGGCAGGCTGTACTTAAAACAATGACAAGTACCACAATTATGGTCAAAAGCTGGAAAGCGATCCACTAGAGACAAGCGCCAGAAAAGAACAAGTTGGCAGAAGTATAATGTGGTGATCATTAATGAACACCAAATCAAATTCATTTCTTAAAAGCAACTTTAAACTTAAAATATATTAACAAAAAGTCAAGCTTCCAGAAGCTATAAAAAATTTTTTATTATCTAAACAAAATTTCTTTAAATATAGTAAGTGACGGTAAAAGTATAAAGAAGTATCAGCCTGGCGACTTTCTCGCAATCTGGCCATTCTTTGATGGATATCTCCACCATTAAAATAGGAGCGGCTGGGATTGGTTTCGTATTGAGACTCGTATACCCCACCTCACGACTCCTGCGAACTCCGCGTTGTCAATGCAAAAATTTATTAGATTTTAAATGCAATAATTATTAGCATTATATGGCCAATGAAGCGCCGATCGAGGACAACGCCGGAATGACCAATCAGTAGTCTTGGCCATTTCACTGTGTGTGGCTAAGACAACGAGCACTTAGTATGCAGGCTAGCTAACAGCGACCGTCAGTAGCTGCCAAACTGTAAACTCTAGTTACGGGCTAATTTCATTCAAGACGAGCTCGATTTGCGTGGGTGTTGGCTCCACTGCCAGTTGCATGACTTCTCCGCCTCTCGAGCCCCACTTGAACCACCCCTCTCCCCTTTTGGGGCCACCAATCCATATTACTATTCCCATAGTCCCAGTCGCCGGCACTGACAGTTCGGCGACAGAGATTTATGCGCTGTAATTTCCCACTTTATTACAGTTTAAAGTTGCGTTTCCATAAGTTTTGGCGCGGTTTGTCTCTTTTAGCTGCCATTTGCTTCAATTTCGCGCCCTCAATGTGGCACTTTTACGGGATTTTGTCGAGCAAATGAATTCATACTTTTAGGAAGTGCTGGAAGGGTTTCTATCTTTCATTAGAAAACAGCAAGAGTATATTTCGCTTCGAACTTCCATCAAAAGCAACTACTCTTTGATCTTTGATTTAAAAGCCAATTTTTCGTGCCTCGAAGGTAATGCCAAGCCGTTGATACGAATCTGGGCTCGAGCACTTCTTAATAAAGTTGTTGCCGGTATTATGACAATAAAAGAGAAAATCCTATTGCGAGAGGGTCTAAAAATAAGTTCAAATTCGTGTTGACAATTTTTGTACGTTTGGCTTTGTTGTGTTTTGTTTGCCGTTTTATTACCATTGCGCCGACGGATTATCGCGACAAGAAGATCAAGAGCAGGAGGACCAAGCGGATGGCGAACAAAAATATTTATATGGATATCAAAAAATAACAAGAAGGGGCCGCCCACTGACACTGGTTGAGAAAAAAACTGAAAACTGAAAAGCGTAAATCACGCTTTCGATAGATCTAAAATTAGTTTCCTGCGATAAGCCGTCGCCAGATTGATACAGCGCGTTTCGCGGCTGTAAGACAATAACTTAACTTAATTGTATAATTGTATTGTATAAAATATATAAGAATATCATTAAAAATACACAAATAAATTATGTTTATATATTAAAACAATTTTCAGTTTTACACCAATAATTTTCCACCCATTATTTGCTGGCTCAAAGATAAAGGGGTTTGGGAAAGTGTAATGGCTTGATCAGTTTTGATTTCGGTTTTTATTATTTTTTTGAGTTAGTGACACGAAAATTTGCATGTTGCATGTTGCACAAACTGCGCATAAATCCAATTAATAACATAATTATTTGGCAAGCAAAACGCAGCAGTTTGTGAGACAAACCATTCGGAGCTCATTTCAAGAGGCCGCCGTTGAGTTTTCGTCTGCATTTGCCACTTTTTGCGGTGCGTAGGCTGTGCCACCAAACCGCCAGTTACCAGTTACTTGGACCAACAACCGTATGCAAATTGCCCATATGCATTTCATTTTTTTCCTACCTTTTTTCTGTTTTCTGTTGGTTTATGCCTAAATTGAAATATTGACTTTGCGCACTTAATTTTCGGCCTGGCAAATTTGAATTGCCAATCAAAGAGAGACGGACGAGGGGAGCAAAGTTGAAGGTAAATTTCTAGCTAAACAATGTGCAACATAAATTAGAATAACAGTTAAAACATAAAGCTAAACCCTCTGTCTTTTGTAGGCGGGACACATAATATGTGGGTGCGATACGGCAGAAACTTTGGATCGGAGGCGTTACTTCAGACTACCCATAGGCTTCATTGGGAACTTCTTGCGGCGTTTCTCAAAATGATTTGTGGTCTTGCCCCGGGAATTAACACGGCAACTTAAATAGGAATGGAATACCCCACAGCCGATAGCGAAGGCAAGTCACAAATCAGCTTAGCCGTAAAGTTTAAAAATGATATAGTTTATAAGACAAAATTCCTGATGTTATCAATCAATCTGGGGTTTGTCAAATATAAATATAATCCATAAGTTAGGGTTATAATCTTAAATATAATTACTTTATAGACCCTTTAATATTTTAGAATTTTAAACAGAAACAACTAGTTTTTAGATAATTTTACATAGCTTAGTACGAATCTTTTTATACAATAATAATACAAATAAACTACTTCGTTTGGGCAGTTCTGACTGTATTAAGTCACGGAGCCAAACCGCAAAAATGGAATAAACAAAACCCCAACAGAATCCATATCGGAACCACTAGAAAAATCAAACCCACCCACCCACATGTCGAGCGGTTCGCCAAGTGGAATGGAGTGCGCACATTGCAAATCTTCTCGTCTGCTGCCGCGCTTCGCTTCAGTTGCCTTCGACAAAAGAAATACTTCGGATGCGAGTGCAGTGTTGTCCACTTGGCTTTTCTTCCACAAAATGTAGCCTTTTATACGGAAATCCCTATAATACTAAAAATGCTTAAAATTATAATATACTATATAATTTCTAATATACTAAATATTTCTTTTTATTTAGGGTAGTTAGAAAGGTAGAAAATATTGACTTGTGCTTAAGTATTCCTAATTGTACCCAAAGTTCAAAGTGAAAAAATTAATTAAAAAATGATAATAATGAATAAAAATTAAAAGATTTATGTTGCAAAACTGCCAACTCCGGGCTAACCCTTTTTTTCCAACTGGAGTTGGCATCTCTAGCGGCAAAGTTTCTGATAAGATTAGAGCGTTGGGGCGCTGTTTATTATTTACCGTTTGAAATCAGGAGAGAAGAGAGCGAGATATATTAATAAAAAAAAAAGTTCGAAAGCTGAGTCATAAAGGTGAGAAAAGAGAGCAAAGTTCCCGTCTAATTCGATTAATCACCGAAATATGCAGCGCATTTCGTTTGTTTTTTGTTTTGGTGCACTTGAAATTGAAAATTCCACACCTGTGCTGGCGGCAGCAACGCTGACTGAGACAAGGCAGAGGCTAAAGTGAGATTGGGAAGGAAATTTTCATATAAGAATTTCAAGTATTTTCAAAACATAATAAAAATTGAATTTTATTGTGTATATTTATAAGTGATGCTACTTTTGCCGCTTTTCGTCTGAATTTTTTTCGTTCAATTAATGGCGCGCACACACTTATACATACACAATGCCCACACATGCTGCAGCATATTCTTATAAGAATCAAACGGTGATCGTCCCTGCAGAGAAAAATAACAACAAAAACAACTGTTTTTGCCCCCAACACAACAACAATAAGAGCAACAACAATAGTGGCGGTCGCATTGAAGAAGAAGAAGCAACATCATAGCATATTACAAATACAATCAAACAATTTTTCTCTTTCACCCGAACGTAATTGCACTTCGAAAATGATTTTCTTCTGGGAAAAACGGATGGAAACTTGCTGTTGAATACTTACGCGTCAACTTAAACACTTCCTGTTGATTTATTTCGTCATTTTGATTGGTTTTCGCCCCGCAAATCTGCGTAAATTGTTTTTCAAAATTGTTTATCACGAAATGCACACACAACACACAGCGACAACGATTTCAGTGTGGCCATGACCGTCCAAATATACCAACTCTGAAAAATACAGATAGGTATAAGCTACTATCGCTACGAGGAAAACTATCGCGAAGGAAGATTAATTTAATATTAAATATATTTTAAATTTATAATATAACGTGTACATACCAGTAATTAAATTTGCATTAATACTCATTCAATATTTTACCAATTCCAAAATATAAGTGTTTATAAATTTAATAAAATCAAACTAGATTTATTATTTATTTATGGTATTTTTTGCAATCGGTTTTTTGTCATCGCCAGCAGAGCGCGCTTTGTTATTTTTTGGTTGTTTCTTCACATTTGCTCAATTCGTTCTGTTTGTATTGATTTCATTGTAATTACTGTATTTTCCTTCTAAAAATAAAATATAAAACAATATGAAGGAGTGTCCATATGGTGAAAAGTGCTATCGGAAGAATCCCATTCATTTCGGCGAGTTTTCACATGCGCATCGTGAGTAAAACATGAAGTAATGAGACCCAAAATTATGTTAATACGGTTAATTCTTCAGTGGATGCAATTTATAAGAAGGGAAATGCATCGGGGGATTACGACATACCTGCCAAATACTCCAGTGAAATGATTCAGACTCAGTTGAGGTTGCTGGAAAAACTATTTCCCAAATCAGAAGTAAAAAAAGAAAATAAAGCAAATGTTTCGGGCTCAAAGCTACCTGTAAATGCTCCGATTAGAAGTGGTACGTCCACTTCTGAATTCTCCAATTCCAATCCTAGTGGTTCCTCAACTTCCCGGTCAGCTGGTCCTGACGACACCTCCAATTTGGCCAAGAAACAAAAGCTAAATGCCAAGAACATTAGGGACTATATTCCTGTCGTGGTGGAAAAGGGAGGAATGGCCAAAAAATTGGAACGCGCGGCTCCCTATAACATGTTTTTCACTGCGATTACGGATTCGAAACCCACCCATTCGGAAGCCTTGAGCATAACCCTTCAGGAAATCCTCGATGAAAGTCTGGGAGAGATCGAAAGCACCGTGCAGATAAACTTTATGGTGGATATTGGCTGGCTACTGGGGCATTACTACTTTGCCGGAATACTGTTAGTAATATCTGATAAATGTCTAATAAGTATCTTAGAAAGCTAAATTTCAGGTCTAAACCGCTTTTGGTGCTTTACGGGGACGAATCACCGGAGCTGCTAAGCATAAGCAAATTCAAGCCGCAGGTTACGGCCATTCGTGTTAAGATGCCCACGCCTTTTGCCACTTCGCATACTAAGATGATGTTCCTGGGCTATAGCGATGGCTCCATGCGGGTGGTCATCTCCACGGCGAATCTGTACGAGGACGATTGGCACAATCGCACGCAGGGCTTATGGATAAGTCCGAAACTTCCTGCTTTGCCGGAGGATGCCGATACGGGCGCAGGAGAGAGCCAAACCGGTTTCAAACAAGACCTAATGTTGTATTTGGTAGAGTACAAGATTAGCCAGTTGCAGCCTTGGATTGCCCGGATCCGGAAGAGTGACTTCAGTGCCATCAAGTAGAGCCTACCAAAGATATTATTTTTTAATCCTCATTCCACTCATTTAATCCTTAGCGTGTTTTTTTTGGGATCTGTGCCTGGAGGTCACCGTGAGGGCGCCGTGAGAGGTCATCCGTGGGGTCACGCTCGGTTGGCTTCATTGCTCTCTAAACACGCAGCGCCCATCGACGATCGCATACCTGTGATCTGCCAAAGTTCGAGTATCGGAAGTCTTGGCGTCAATGTACAAGCCTGGATTCAGCAGGATTTCGTTAACAGCCTGAAAAAGGATTCAACACCTGTGGGAAAACTTCGCCAGATGCCAGCTTTCAAAATGATTTATCCAAGTTTTGGGAACGTTTCGGGTAGTCATGACGGAATGTTGGGCGGCGGATGTCTGCCCTATGGAAAAAACACGAACGATAAACAGCCTTGGCTGAAGGATCATCTGCAGCAATGGAAATCTAACGATCGATATCGCTCGCGGGCCATGCCGCACATTAAGAGCTATACGCGCTTTAACCTGGAGGACCAGTCCGTATATTGGTTCGTTTTGACTTCAGCAAATCTCTCTAAAGCAGCCTGGGGCAGCTTCAATAAAAACTCCAATATTCAACCCTGCCTGAGAATTGCCAACTATGAAGTCGGCGTCCTGTTCCTACCAAGATTTGTGGTTAGTTCTGATATCGTTAAACTTAATTATATTCTAATGGTTGCCTTTGTCTTGCAGACTGGCGAAGACACATTTCCTTTGGGCAATAATCGCGATGGTGTTCCCGCGTTTCCACTGCCCTACGATGTTCCGCTGACTCCCTATGCTCCAGATGATAAACCTTTCCTAATGGATTACCTGCACGGTTAAAACTAAAAACGCACCTATTCGATTTTATTATTTCTTGTTTTTATAATTATTTGGGTTACACATATTTAATACTCAACGTGTGCTTATGTTTACTAATTGGTTTTATGTTTATTTATTTAAATAATCCTCAAAAAGTGGTAGTTATTGCATTTGCAAATGAATAACATAAAAACATAAAAATGCTTATTTTATTTTGCCTGCTGTCCTGATTCTAAAAGGCGAGAATTTCCCACTCACTCGGATTTCAGTTAATTTGAAAAGAAGCTGGCGAAATTCAATGGACCCACTCTTGTTCCCTCGGGTTCAGCTTTAATCAAATTGGGATATCAAGATTGTTCATCAATAATACTTATATAATTTTAAGCTATTTGAAACGGAGGATTTAGCTACTAACAAGTGCGGTCTAAACTCACAAATCCTTTTCAGTTGTCAGTATTTACATATTCAAAAAGCGTATCCTCTATCCATTTCATATGGTACGTAACATTGGTATAAACACTGGGGCCTTTACATGCCGAGAATCCAAAATTTGAAATCCCGAACTGGAAAATGCGAGGAACTCCTCCATAGAGTAGCTCTCCGGTTAGGGGATTTCCCATGTCTCCTTCACATGTGTCACTGGTTGTATCGCCGGCACATATAAGGTCCTTGAATAAATTATTTAGCTGAAGACTCTTGCACTCCTCAATATCGCGATTGGCTACAATTGCTGTCTGTAGCACCGTTTTTATTACTTTGTTATAATCAGCCCAGCCAGCGACTATAAATGATGAAAATTGTTTCAGAAGAGGTTGATTGACGAGCAGACAAATCGGCCGGATATAATCTAAGAAAATATTTTAAGTTTAGTTAAAGTCGTGGTCGGTACGGCTAACTAATTACCTGAAAACAAAATCTCTTCAGCTATTCTAACCAGGGCTATGTTATTTTCATTTATCCCGGTTATGTTATATTGTGGGTGTGGAATAGCACGCTCGATATCAATATCAGAGGTCCTCGGCAAGCAACCCAATGAAGAACAATCGTGCGTTTTATTCCTGTCATAATCGCCCAGACGTACCTTTCTAAAACCCATAGAATTAAAATATTTATAATGAAAATTATGCTCAGATCATACGTAGGCGCCAACTCAATATATCTAAAGCAAAAACCCTGCCGTCAAAACAAAACCTGTAAATATTAATAAGCTTAAAACTGAATTGCAATGATCTAAAATTATGCTAAGATACTTACGAGAGGTAACGAGGGATCCGGTACAGCGATATTTCTGATCTTGAAGGAGAATAGCTAGCCATGGATTCGAGAATATTTCAGCATCTTGTCCTCCTACTACTCGCTTAAATCTGGAAGGTTGCCTTATTGTTCCGCAATTATTTTCCAATAAATAGGCCCTCTCCTTCGTATGCCCAAAATATGAGGCAGACCAATGGGACAAATCCCGTTTTAAAGTGTTTCATATTACGGCGAGTACTGATTTAATAGCTCTAAAGAGATGGATTTTTAGAGGATTGTACGCAATCTTTTAAGTTCAAAAAGTTCAAACTGATATTTCGGTTTATATTTTGCGGATTAGAAATTCTTGATAAATGTGACGATTCTGAGAATGTTTTTATGGGTTTTTAAGACACAAACAAAGAAAATAAATTGAGTTCAAAAAGTTAATATTATTTTTTTCTTATATGTATTTGAGACGAATTTATCAACATTCTCATTTCCAAATATAACATACATATATAAATAGTAATTTTTATTAATGAGTTAGCTTCTTGGCTCGTTTTCGAATTGATTGCAAGCTTTTTTCGAATGCAATAAAACAATTTTTTAAACGCTCATCATCATTTTTATTTTTTACGTTTAATTTAATGTAAGGCCAACTAAAATTCCAAATGCACAATCAAAAACAATGACTTTTTTTGGGGCTTTCTCTTGGAATTTTGAATTTTCTTTATTACGAATTTAAATTGCTAGGGGTGGGAGGCTACCAAGATTGTTTAACGATGGAAAAATAGCAAGTTTACCAAAACTTATACTCTGTATGGCGAAAATTAAACAAAGAGGATTCCAGTTTGTATTTTATTTACCAATACCAGGAGTAGAAATACACAAACATTTGTGACTTTTCAAAAGGATAACCCTAAAAATGCCAGTTACTTGAAAAGGACAATTTTTTACTAAGAAATGCGGTCTAAGATCGCAAATCCTTATCAGTTGTCAGTATTTACATATTCAAAAAGCCTATCCTCTATCCATTTCATATGGTACGTAACATTGGTATAAACACTGGGGCCTTTACATGCCGTAAATCCAAAACTTGAAAGCCCGAACTGGAAAATCCGAGAAACTTTTCCATAGACTATCTCCGCAGTTAGGGGAGTGCCTCCATCTCCGTAACATGTGTCACTGGTTGTATCGCCGGCACATATAAGGTCCTTAGATAAATTATTCATCTGAAGAATACTCTTGCACTCCTCAATATCGCGATGGGGGACAATGGCTGTCTGTAGCACCTCTTTTCATTACTTCGTTATAATGACCCCAGCCAGCCACTTTAAATGATAAAAATTTTTTCAGAACCGGCTGATTGACGAGCAGACAAATCGGCCGGATATAATCTAAGAAAATATTTTAAGTTTAGTTTAGGTCGAGGTCGGTATGGCTAACTAATTACCTGAAAATAAAATCTCTTCAGCTATTCTAACCAGGGCTATGTTATTTTCATTTATCCCGGTTATGTTATATTGTGGGTGTGGAATAGCACGCTCGATATCAATATCAGAGGTCCTCGGCAAGCAACCCAATGAAGAACAATCGTGCGTTTTATTCCTGTCATAATCGCCCAGACGTACCTTTCTAAAAACCATAGAATTATAATATTTATAATAAAAATTATGCTCAGATCATACGTAGGCGCCGAGTTAGATTCATTGAAGCAATCCGCTACCGTCAAAACAAAACCTGTAAATATTAATAAGCTTAAAACTGAATTGCAATGATCTAAAATTATGCTAAGATACTTACGAGAGGTAACGAGGGATCCGGTACAGCCCTTTATATTATCTTTAAAGAGCATAGCTAGCCATGGATTCGAGAATATTTCAGCATCTTGTCCTCCCACTACTCGCTTAAATCTGGAAGGTTGCCTTATTGTTCCGCAATTATTTTCCAATAAATGGGACGCTCCTTCGTTTGCCCAAAATAGGAGGCAGACCAATGCGAATCCCGTTTTAAAGTGTTTCATATTACGGCGAGTACTGATTTAATAGCTCTAAAGAGATGGGTTTTTATAGGATTGTTCGAAATCTTTTAAGTTCAAAAAGTTCAAACTGATATTTCGGTTTATATTTTGCGGATTAGAAATTCTTGATAAATGTGACGATTCTGAGAATGTTTTTATGGGTTTTTAAGACAAAAGAAAATAAATTGAGTTCAAAAAGTTAATATTAATTGTTTCTTATATGTATTTGAGACGAATTTATCAACATTCTCATTTCCAAATATAACATACATATATAAATAGTAATTTTTATTAATGAGTTAGCTTCTTGGCTCGTTTTCGAATTGATTGCAAGCTTTTTTCGAATGCAATAAAACAATTTCTTAAACGCTCATCATCATTTTTATTTTTTACGTTTAATTTAATGTAAGGCCAACTAAAATTCCAAATGCACAATCAAAAACAATGACTTTTTTTGGGGGCTTTCTCTTGGAATTTTGAATTTTCTTTATTACGAATTTAAATTGCTAGGGGTGGGAGGCTACCAAGATTGTTTAACGATGGAAAAATAGCAAGTTTACCAAAACTTATACTCTGTATGGCGAAAATTAAACAAAGAGGATTCCAGTTTGTATTTTATTTACCAATAGCAGGAGTAGAAATACACAAACATTTGTGACTTTTCAAAAGGATAACCCTAAAAATGCCAGTTACTTGAAAAGGACAATTTTTTACTAAGAAATGCGGTCTAAGATCGCAAATCCTTATCAGTTGTCAGTATTTACATATTCAAAAAGCCTATCCTCTATCCATTTCATATGGTACGTAACATTGGTATAAACACTGGGGCCTTTACATGCCGAGAATCCAAAATTTGAAATCCCGAACTGGAAAATGCGAGGAACTCCTCCATAGAGTAGCTCTCCGGTTAGGGGATTTCCCATGTCTCCTTCACATGTGTCACTGGTTGTATCGCCGGCACATATAAGGTCCTTGAATAAATTATTTAGCTGAAGACTCTTGCACTCCTCAATATCGCGATTGGCTACAATTGCTGTCTGTAGCACCGTTTTTATTACTTTGTTATAATCAGCCCAGCCAGCGACTATAAATGATGAAAATTGTTTCAGAAGAGGTTGATTGACGAGCAGACAAATCGGCCGGATATAATCTAAGAAAATATTTTAAGTTTAGTTAAAGTCGTGGTCGGTACGGCTAACTAATTACCTGAAAACAAAATCTCTTCAGCTATTCTAACCAGGGCTATGTTATTTTCATTTATCCCGGTTATGTCATATTGTGGGTGTGGAATCACACGCTCGATATCAATATCAGAGGTCCTCGGCAAGCAACCCAATGAAGAACAATCGTGCGTTTTATTCCTGTCATAATCGCCCAGACGTACCTTTCTAAAACCCATAGAATTAAAATATTTATAATGAAAATTATGCTCAGATCATACGTAGGCGCCAACTCAATATATCTAAAGCAAAACCCTGCCGTCAAAACAAAACCTGTAAATATTAATAAGCTTAAAACTGAATTGCAATGATCTAAAATTATGCTAAGATACTTACGAGAGGTAACGAGGGATCCGGTACAGCGATATTTCTGATCTTGAAGGAGAATAGCTAGCCATGGATTCGAGAATATTTCAGCATCTTGTCCTCCTACTACTCGCTTAAATCTGGAAGGTTGCCTTATTGTTCCGCAATTATTTTCCAATAAATAGGCCTCTCCTTCGTATGCCCAAAATATGAGGCAGACCAATGCGACAAATCCCGTTTTAAAGTGTTTCATATTACGGCGAGTACTGATTTAATAGCTCTAAAGAGATGGATTTTTAGAGGATTGTACGCAATCTTTTAAGTTCAAAAAGTTCAAACTGATATTTCGGTTTATATTTTGCGGATTAGAAATTCTTGATAAATGTGACGATTCTGAGAATGTTTTTATGGGTTTTTAAGACACAAACAAAATGAGATAAGAAAATAAATTGAGTTCAAAAAGTTAATATTGTTTTTTTCTTATATGTATCAACATTCTCATTTCCAAATATAACATACATATATAAATAGTATTTTTTATTAATGAGTTAGCTTCTTGGCTCGTTTTCGAATTGATTGCAAGCTTTTTTCGAATGCAATAAAACAATTTTTTAAACGCTCATCATCATTTCTATTTCTTACGTTTAATTTAATGTAAGGCCAACTAAAATTCCAAATGCACAATCAAAAACAATGACTTTTTTTGGGGGCTTTCTCTTGGAATTTTGAATTTTCTTTATTACGAATTTAAATTGCTAGGGGTGGGAGCTACCAAGATTGTTTAACGATGGAAAAATAGCAAGTTTACCAAAACTTATACTCTGTATACCGAAAATTAAACAAAGAGGATTCCAGTTTGTATTTTATTTACCAATAGCAGGAGTAGAAATACACAAACATTTGTGACTTTTCAAAAGGATAACCCTAAAAATGCCAGTTACTTGAAAAGGAGAATTTTTTACTAAGAAATGCGGTCTAAGATCGCAAATCCTTATCGGCTGTTCTTATTTATAAATTGAAAAAGCGTATCCTCTATCCATTTCATATGGTACGTAACATTGGTATAAACACTGGGGCCTTTACATGCCGTAAATCCAAAACTTGAAAGCCCGAACTGGAAAATCCGAGAAACTTTTTCATAGACTATCTCCGCAGTTAGGGGAGTGCCTCCATCTCCGAAACATGTGTCACTGGTTGTATCGCCGGCACATATAAGGTCCTTAGATAAATTATTCATCTGAAGAATACTTTTGCACTCCTCAATATCGCGATGGCGGACAATGGCTGTCTGTAGCACCTCTTTCCTTACTCGGTTATAATGACCCCAGCCAGCGACTATAAATGATGAAAATTGTTTCAGAAGAGGTTGATTGACGAGCAGACAAATCGGCCGGATATAATCTAAGAAAATATTTTAAGTTTAGTTTAGGTCGAGGTTGGTATGGCTAACTAATTACCTGAAAATAAAATCTCTTCAGCTATTCGAACCAGAGCTATGTTATTCACATTTCCTGGAGTAAACTCAAATTTTGGGTGTGGAATAACACGCTCGATATCAATATCAGAGGTCCTCGGCAAGCAACCCAAAGAAGAACAATCTTGCGCTCTATTCCTGTCATAATCGCCCAGACGTACCTTACTAAAAGCCATAGAATTATAATATTTATAATAAAAAATATGCTCAGATCATACGTAGGCGCCGAGTTAGAATTATTGAAGCAATCCGCTACCGTCAAAACAAAACCTGTAAATATTAATAAGCTTAAAACTGAATTGCAATGATCTAAAATTATGCTAAGATACTTACGAGAGGTAACGAGGGATCCGGTACAGCGATATTCCTGATCTTGAAGGAGAATAGCTAGCCATGGATTCGAGAATATTTCAGCATCTTGTCCTCCTACTACTCGCTTAAATCTGGAAGGTTGCCTTATTGTTCCGCAATTATTTTCCAATAAATGGGCCGCTCCTTCGTTTGCCCAAAATAGGAGGCAGACCAATGCGACAAATCCCGTTTTAAAGTGTTTCATATTACCGCGAGTACTGATTTAATAGCTCTAAAGAGATGGGTTTTTATAGGATTGTACGAAATCTTTTAAGTTCAAAAAGTTCAAACTGATATTTCGGTTTATATTTTGCGGATTAGAAATTCTTGATAAATGTGGCGATTCTGAGATTGTTTTTATGGGTTGTTAAGACACAATCAAAATGAGATTCGCCCAGACGTTCCTTACTAAAAATCATAGGATTAAAATATATGTACGAGTATATAATAAAAATCACGCTGAGATAATACGTAGGCGAAATGGGATCGTTGAGTTCAAAAAGATCAAAGTAATATTTCAGCGTATATTTTGCGCATTAGCAATTCGTAATAAATGTGGTAGTTCTGGAATGATTTTAATGGTGGTGATAAAACACAAACATAATTAAATAGGAAAGTACGTATAGTATAGTATATTATAGTTCAAGAAGTTCAAATTGTTATATTGCTTATATGTTTTTGGGATGAACTTATAAGCATTATCTAGTTTACAAATATATAATATATTATTTTTAATAGACAATTGAGAAATAGATAATCACCTTGTCTTTTTTTTTTAAATTTAGTGCGAGGCTTTTTCGAATGGAAAAGGGATATTCTTATCTTTCGGTTTTTAACGATCATAATTCTTAATGTTGTGCCGCATAATACCCAAAATACCAAACAAAATTTCTAAAATATTGTTAGTTACCCAGCTCCGCCCAAGCAGTTGGTATTAATGCGTCGCAAGGTCTACGGGCACACTAAATCATCAGTTAAAAAAAATCGCAGAAGGCGAAGGCAAAATTTCTGAGCACGATTTAAATCCGGTTCCCTTGGAAAGTGTTTACATATATTTGCCAGCAAAAAATAGCAAACGGCCATAAAAGACACAATCAAACACATTACACTTGGCCCCCTAAAAAATACAAGATAACCGAAGGAAAGGCGGCAAATCGAAGGATAAGTTGAAAGGGATTGGATGTTAAGGCTGCCAATTTCCTCGGATCCTGGGTAAAAAATCGGAGGACACTGCGCCACCATGTCCACCGCCTTCCTGACGCTCATCGCCGTCATTGTGTGCATACTTTTCCGCATCCTCAATGTTCACAGTCAGCCACTAAAACCAAGTGTGTGGTGCCTAGACGCCCAGTTCCTGGATTGCCTTTACAAAATAGCACCCGTGCTAAGGGAGCCGTAAGTTTTCCGTAGAGCAGAGCTCAACAATTTATTTTTCTATTTTCCTATTCCGCATAACACGCCGACTCAGGCGTAAAGAGTGCATAAAGACACATTTTCCAAATTTTTTTTATTAATTCTAAAAAATTGCTAATATATATTTATGCATATATTTATTTTATCTGTTGCATTTTTGTCTATATATCTTAGCACAGCTGTTAACTTTGAAATCAGCATTACAGCCACGTAAAAATGTTAGTTACTCTGCTGTCATAATTAAGCCAGTTGGGTTGTTATCAGATTTTCTGCTAAGCAAATCTCCAATTACCTCAATTACTTCAAAGGTCCGATTCACTGACATGTGGAAACAAATGACATTTTTTCACACAGCTCGTCGATTTCCCAGCTGCTGAGTGAATCATTAATGGCAATTAGTCAATAAAGCTAATTTCGCTGTCTAAATAATTCAAAAATTAATCAAACTCCTCGCTCTTTATCTGTAAAATCCATCTACATTGATTAAATGCAATTTTACTAGTTTCACATTATCAGTTTTCAAGGCATGTCATAATATAACCGATTCGTTGACACATGTGTTCAGTACAGACTTTTCTGTCTGAGTTTTTCTTATCGGTGATATAATGAACCCTTACTCATTCTATATAAAATTTTTGCGGTCAGAGGCTAAAAATATTTTAATGGATTAATGGTTATCAGGGATAGAATATTATTTTAAATGCACAATTTTAATGTGCCATGTTGTTAAAGGTTATCGTGACAGGAAGTTGCAAAAAAAATAATTACAATTTTACTGATTCGAAATAAAAGAGGTATCAATTATTTTTAAGCTGAGAAATATTCATTAATATTCGAATTTTTTAATTTAATGTCCGAATGTCGTTCCCTTTTTCTTTTAAACATTTTTCTTTGGCTATGTCCACGCCTGGAAAATTTTCTTTCGGTTTCTATTATATCTGGGGAAATCTGCGAATGCTTTCGATGTTCTTTCTGGCAACCAGCCGCATAATTAAATGGAATTTTGTTTAATCTTCCTTTGCTTTTTCAATTTATTTTTCTATACGTCTGCCAGAATGGCGATAAGAAGTAATAATAATGTGGGCACAAAGTTCGCCCCACAATTACGCAGCGGGCTAGTAAAATAAAGACGGCGACTAACGCCTAGCAACCTGGTTTTGGCCCCAAACTTGACTGTCGGGGTGCTAACCGTGTGGGAGTTTCCTGAGATAAATGTTTATGTATGGCAATGTGAGGTGACAAGGAAAAAAAAAAGTGCCGGCATAATGTTCGTTTTGCATTTTGGCCCATTCAAATGCCGGCACTACCTGTGAATGCCTCTGTTTTTGTTTTTGTTTTTGTTTTTGGCTTTGGCGCTTTGCCCAGTCGGCTGCCGCTTTTGTTTAACAACAAAGATTGCGTAAGCGAAATTCTCTCGACTGCTCTGCAGTTTTCTTTCCCTCTCGGCTAACAAACAAAACCGGTTGAAAGGTGAGATTGTGACAGGTAAAAAGCTAAAGTGGCTATTAATTCTTGTCATCTTCTTGTTTAATTTTCCTTCAAAAAAAAAATATTTCTAATTTACTTACAAATGAAATACTGCTTTTAATTTTTTTAAATTTTCTTTTACTTTAGTTCATGAAATTAGGTTGCATATTTTGGTATGACGCAGCTCAGACTTTTCACTTAAGAACAGCGGTTTTACAAGCGTTTTGCGCAAATTGGCTAATGAACAGGGATTGTATTACCATAATTACCTAATGTTTTAATACTTATAATATAAAGTTGAACAAATCAGGAATGTGTATTTAAGGGCTTTATAGGGGTTTCTAATTTCCGAGAAACCACTAATACCAGGCGTTTACCTTAAGGGGTGCGACATTGAAAATGGCGAAGATGACTCATTTGCACATTTTGCTGTTGACTTTTTGCATTGTTTTGTTTTTTATTGTGGTCTCGTAACTGTGACAGTGTACTTAAAAGGTGGGGAAAAGTTGCAGCTGTTTTTCATTTTTGGGAAAGAGAACCGAAAACGATACATTTACCTATTACGCAGCAAAAAACGAATTTCACATGTATGCCCTCACATTATTTACTAAGTCCGTATTGATTAATGTTCGAAGATTCATGTTTAAAAGTGATTAAAAATTTAACAGATAGATACGATGGCATTTGTGCCAGTTCCCAAACTGACCAACTCCCCCACCAACTTATTCCACAATTTCACTTTGATTGATACTAATGAAAAGCAACTGTTGCCAAGCTCACAGATGGATACGAAAAGTGTATCACGTTTTTGCACGCCTGACATGATTTTTGATACACAAAAAAAAGCCGAACCTATAAATTAAATTCAACTTTAATGTATGTTTATAAATGTATCAGAAAACCATGGAAGGAGGAGTACGTATGAAATTATTAAATTCTTAAATCGGTATTCTCTGTCTCTTAAAAAAGGATTTACAAATTTTTTTTATATGCTCTCACATTTTTTCTCTGTGCACATCCGACTTTCTCCATCTAATTCTAGTGTTATTGCGTGTTCAATTAGGTTCAATTGGTTCTAATGCTGTTTTTAGAATTGCGGCTTTGTGCATTTCACAATTTAAAGTCATCCCATCGAAAAACTTGAACGAAATTTAAATTTGGCAAACTGCCTGCTAACGAACTGGAAGCCATTGAATGCAGATTTAGTAGTTATTATTGCCATTATATCTCAAAAAGCAATGTCAAGGGCAAAAAACCAATGTTGTGACGAAAAAGATTGTTTTTTTTTTAAAGATAAGCATTTACTGATAAAAGGCCTTATGTTTGCGTGTATACATTTTGTATCGAAAGTTAAATTTGTTTTTTTAATATTACTTACTGCTTATTGGACATTAATAAACATATTACTTTCGCACTTTTCAGTTACATTCCTCCACGTCTTTGGGGATTTAGTGGCCATGTCCAGACAGTTTTGCACAGTATTGTGGGCCGAGTTCGTTGTCCTTGGCCTCTAGGAGAGAGGGTCTACATGTCGCTCCAGGATGGCTCCACTTTGACCTACGATTTGTATCAGCCACTCACCGAACAGGAGGGTAAATTAAGACTTATCTTAAAGCGATTGCAAGTACTAAGGATTTTTCACACTCCAATAGATGACATCACCGTGGCCATTTGCCCGGGCATCGCTAATAGCTCAGAATCAGTGTACATTCGCACTTTTGTGCATCTGGCCCAGTGCAATGGATACCGCTGTGCGGTCCTGAATCACATTGGAGCGCTTCGCAGTGTACAGGTGACCTCCACGCGTATTTTTACCTACGGACACACGGAGGATTTCGCGGCCATGGTGGAGCATTTGCACCAGAAGTACCGCCAAAGTCGAATGGTTGCTGTAGGTTTCAGCTTGGGCGGCAATTTGGTCACCAAATACATGGGCGAGGACCAGAAGACAAAGCCCAACAGCGTAATTGGAGGCATATCCATATGTCAAGGCTATAATGCCGTCGAGTGAGTAACTATTTCAACTTAAATTGAAAATCCTCTTTAAATATGGAGTTTTAGGGGAACCAAATGGCTGCTGAACTGGCAAAACTTCCGTCGCTTTTACCTGTATATCATGACGGAGAACGTGAAGAGCATTATCCTGAGACATCGACATGTCTTGCTGTCTGACGAGGTGAAAGCTCGGCATAATCTCAACGAGCGCGAGATCATCGCCGCTGCCACTTTACCCGAATTGGATGAAGCTTATACGAGGCGGGTGTACAACTTCCCATCCACCCAGGAACTGTATAAGTGGAGTTCGTCGCTGTTCTACTTCGATTCGATTAAAAAGCCCATGATCTTCATCAATGCCAAGGATGATCCTTTAATTCCAGAGGATTTGCTGCATCCCATTAAAGAATATGCTAGTAAGTTAATAAATATATGATTATTAATTGCGTTTTAAATCCAGACTTTACTTTCAGTTTCTAGGCAAAACACGGCCTACGTTGAGGTGGCTCATGGTGGCCATCTGGGCTTCTACGAAGGTGGTTTCTTATATCCAAATCCGGTGACTTGGCTAGACCGCACACTGGTGGCCATGGTTGGATCTTTGGTCATGATGCAGGACGTCGGAAAGGTGGCATCTTAGGCCGCGGCGCTACTCCCACACGCACACACGAAAATTAAAGGCTTTTGTGGCAAAATTTGTTGTCGCTGACGAATATGAATTTTTGATGGAACATCGGAACAGAACCCGAAATACCCCATACATATAGTTCTAAAATATAATATCGATGTGCAGCACGTAAAAATTATCAGCCGCGCAAGCAGGAAAACATAAATTAATGTATACTTTTGCAAAGTGCATTTAAAACAGAGAAATTGCAGTTTTCGACAAAGGGTAATATGCTTTTTGTGACTTTTTGAACAGCCAAACAAAAAACAATATATCAGTTGAACTTGTACCTTAGTTAGTTAACGCGAACCACATGTATCCATGTACTTATGTCTAAGCAAATTCCTATTTATTAGCATTTTACTTTGTGATCTAAAAGGTTTAATTATGTATATTTTATATATGATATCTACACCAGGCACAGCACAAAACATATAATGTATGACAGTAATTATAAATTGTAAGTCCCCGGCCGCACCCCTATAAAATAGCAGAAAAATGCCTTAATGTAGGACCTTGTTTTATAAGTGTGTATATGATTTTAATTATTCAGATTGTACTACGATGCATTTCATGAAAATCAAAGAGAAACCAAATGAAATTTGCCCAACGACGGCTTCAATTTTGTATACTTTTTCTGATCATTATCCAAGTTGATAGTCAGATAGATCGCGATTTGTTTACCAATATAGTAGAGTATGAAGAAATATTTATAAATGTATTTGTAAAAGTAACTATTAATATACTAAAACGAACAAATAAAAGTTGACTAAAAAAATATATATTTGGTTATATATTTAGTTTTAACCAATTTCCCGCATATTTTTAAGCTGTTGGAATCGATATCGATAATTCGGCGACAGTTTTTATCGGTTCATTTGACAATTTCTCTACATCCAACTTAAGTTTGGGTTTTACATAATCATGTACATGAGCAGTCGTGGCCGAGCGGTTAAGGCGTCTGACTAGAAATCAGATTCCCTCTGGGAGCGTAGGTTCGAATCCTACCGACTGCGAATACCAGATGGTTTTTTTATTCTTAAAATGAAATATAATACCATAACTATTTTTGCATTGAGAGCTCTTTCGATGAAATTTGATAATTTGGTTAAAAGGGTTGGTACTCCTCTTTAACCTTTTTGATTCGAAAACCCTTAAGATACATGCTATGGGTTTCGCAGGCAAAATCGTAATCTTTCTTACATTTTAACAGGGTTACCGGGTTAAACAATCTCTCTTTTAGTTATAATACGTAATTTTTATCAGTACATAAAAATTTAATTTAAGTCATTTGTTCATATTTTGCGCATTTATTCAGAAATATTATATACGTATAACATGTCACACACGTAGAAATAAACAGTTATATAATAAATAATTAAAGACAAATATTTAAAACGTATTATTTGTTTTTGAGTGTATTTTCGAAATGCTGTAGCAATCGATAGCCGATGACAATACCAGCCCATGTACACCAAACAGCTCAGTATATCGGCCACAATACATCGCCATACATCAGAATAATAAACAAAATATAAACAATATACCATACCAACCATATATCTTAAGAACTAGTACTTAGTGCCTCGCAAGGAAAGGTAAGTGAGTTTGATTAGCCCGGGAATTTACTATTGCTCTAATTCTTCTGTTTCAGTGTAATGAAGAAAAGATGCCGCGTATGCATGCGAAACTCAAAAAAGATGGTCAACATTTTCGATGGAACACAATATCTTGCCATTTCCATACCGTATATGATATCTGAATGCACAGGGTTTAAGGTTGAGAAAGGTGACTCACTTCCTGAATCCATTTGTCCACCTTGCTTGGAAGATGCTCAAAATGCATATAAGATTATAAAGACACACGAGCGCAGCTACAAGATTTTTTGTGAGGTAAAGGATGCAATCCTTGAGGACGATTTGCTGGAAGAAGAAATCTGCCTAATATCTGATGGCGATAGTGAAAGATCGCAATGTCCCGAGGATTGTACTGAAGATAGGCAAGGCAAGAACGAGGGGAGCATCCAAAATGACGCCGGCAATAGAGTTCATAAAATAAGACGTCAAAATAATCAGCACAACTCAGAGCAAGCTGATCTTACCAAGAATAATGATCCGAATGAAAGTGATTGTGCTATTAGCGAAAAGAGTTGACACGATAAGGGGGAAATTGAAAATGAGCACAAATCAAAACAAAACGAAGATACATATAAGGAAGATTTGAGTGATAGTGATTATATTGGTCAATTGAAGAAGCCTTTCAAATGCACCTTCTGCCAAAAGTCATTTATGTATAATTGTCATCTCTTGGAGCACAACCGCATCCATACAGGGGAACAACCATTTAAGTGTTCCCTCTGCCCATCGACCTTTCGGCTTAAGGTTCAACTTAAACATCACCAGAAAACACATACGGGGATTCGACCGTTTAAGTGTAGCCAGTGCCCGAAGTCATATTTTCAACAGGGTTCTCTAACCAAACACGCCGTGATCCACGAAGGGAAATATCCATTTAAGTGCACTCTCTGCCCAAAGTCCTTTCATTACAAGTGTCTACTTAAACTCCACTCTATGAAACACAAGGAAGATTTGAATGATAGTGATTATATTGGTCAATTGAAGACTTTCAAATGCACCTTCTGCCAAAAGTCATTCAAACGTAATTGTGATCTCGTGGAGCACAACCGCATCCATACTGGGGAACAACCATTTAAGTGTTCCCTCTGCCCATCGACCTTTCGGCTTAAGGTTCAACTTAAACGTCACCAGAATAAACATACAGGGATTCGACCGTTTAAGTGTAGCCACTGCCCGAAGTCATATTTTCAACAGGGTTCTCTAACCAAACACGCCGTGATCCACAAAGGGAAATATCCATTTAAGTGTACTCTCTGCCCAAAGTCCTTTCATTTTAAGGGTCAACTTCAACTCCACTCTATGAAACACGTGGGAGATCGACCGTTTAAATGTGATTATTGCAAAAAGGGCTTTATGCTAAAGGGCAATCTTAAGAAACATATAAGAACACACACGGGTGAACGACCCTACAAGTGTACTATCTGCCTTTCAACCTTTTCAGACCCATCAAATCTTATTCAGCACAGGAGGATTCACACGGAAAAACCACGGTTTAAATGTGATTTTTGCGAAAAGGCTTTTTTATATAAGGATCGTCTTCGGAGGCATGTCCGCACTCACAATAGGGAACGACCATTCAAGTGATCTGAATTTCAATAAGAATAACATGTTTCGAATAATAACATACAACACATATGTTTTTAAAATCGATAACAAATCGATGGTACAACATCTGTTTGTGCCCTTAACAGCACAATGCAATGGGCACAGGGTGCTTACAGTATTTTAAGAATGAATTAAATCTCGAGGTGTAAACAAACTATATAGTCCAATAAATACAATATAAGCAAAATAGAACGGTAATAATGATTATTTTTTAATGTAGTTTTTATATTTTTCAAATACTTCTCAGAGTAATGACTGAATTGTGTCGAGTTTGTATGCTAATTTCCCAAGACGTGATAAATATATTCGATGAAGACCCAGAATCGGAATTTTCTATAGTTCATCTTATTTCTCACTATACTGGACTGGAAGTCAAGCGGGGAGATTCGTTTCCAGAAATAGTTTGCTCAATGTGCTTGCAGGATGCTAGAGATACATTTGGGAATTTTCGATTGAGTGGTGAAAGCCACCAAACTGACAACAAAAGAAAGGATGCGGTTTTACTGGAGGAAAAAGTGAGTCAGATGTTACACTGCCAAGTGAAGGAGGAATTTCTTGAGGAGGATTTACTTCAGGAAATAGTTTGTGAGATATCAGACAGTGAAAGTGAGCAATCGTATTTAACCCAGGAGGTCAATTACTCTACAAATAAAGAAGAGTTAAATGCACACCAGGAAACCCAACAGTTATATGTTCAAAATTGTGGGGGCATTGAAGATAATAAGGACTGCGATAACGATGATCCGCCGTTGAAGAGCCACGACTGTGAGAAACACTATTGTCATCTTCAATTGCACGAATGTACTCACGTTGGGAGAAAGCCATTCAAATGCACCCAGTGTCCAAAAACCTGTCGTACTGCCGCGGATCTTAGACGCCACAATCGGATTCATACGGGAGAACGGCCATATAAATGCGATTACTGCGAAAAGACTTTCAGGGATCGTCAGGTTCTTAGGGTGCACATTCGAGTTCACACGGGAGAACGACCCTATAAATGCACTTACTGCGAAAAGACTTATAAGGAGCCGAAATCCCTTAGGGTGCACACCCGGAGTCATACGGGAGAACGGCCTTACAAATGTTCCTATTGCCTTTCTACTTTTGCGGATCCCTCAAGCTTTAGGACCCACACCCGAATCCACAAAAGAAAAACAATATAATATAAATTATTATATATAATATTTAGTCATGTTTCGAATATATACCTTAGTGCACATCAAATGTACAAATTGGAAGAATATTTTATAATTAAAGTCTTTCACTTTTTTTTACCATAATACCATATTTACATAAATTATTACCAACATGAATTTACTTAAAAAAGGGATAATGCTTTTATTTCTGTCTTATCAATAAAAAAATTTCGTTATGGCTTTTTCCAGTGTATGCTTAATTTTTTATTGGAGTAATTAAGAATAAAAAAGGAACCCGAAGTCTCGCAGTCGGTAGGATTCGAACCTACGCTCCCAGAGGGAATCTGATTTCTAGTCAGACGCCTTAACCGCTCGGCCACGACTGCTGTTGGTTTCGATGCGCAATGTGACAACTAATGCCGTTTGGAAGGTCACACGTAGATTTGTTGCGCTGAGTACGAAAGTTTCGTCATTTTATAACACTGTTTCTCTAATCCAGTATTTCAACTTTTAAAATTAGGCGCCTGATATGTTTTTTAATATGAGTGATGTCACAAAACAAAATGAAATCGAGTAGGAAAAAATGAATGTTCTGTGTCGCACGTTTCATTTCAGACATTAATCCTTTTATTTACATTTATTGATCGCCTTAAAATTTACAGAACAATTTTGGACAATTCTCACGGCAGCAGCAATTGATGCCGCACATGGTGTTCATGCTGAGGCATTTCTTCTGATCAAATGGGAATGAAATAAGGACTGCGGAGGTGGTGTGTAAAGGATTAAAAATTGGATTACGCTTATCTAATGCTCAAATACTCACTGGCGTAGCCATCTTTCAGCCTGGAGGCATTTTCCTTTTCCAGAGCGCACCCGGACATTCTTACAATTTTAAATGGCATTCCGCCGCCACAATGAGTGTCCAGCAGACAACGCTGTATGACGGTGCAATTGCAGGGTTTAGGAGGTTCCGGGGGCGTGTAGACACAGTGGGGTCCACAGCAGATATTGTCGCGGGGAGGCAGTTTGGGCTCCGTGAGGCCTTTATCGACGCAGTTGTTCCATCCCGTAAATGGCTGACAGGATCTTCTTTGACAGCACGACATCAGGGACATCGAACAAGCAAGAAGTTGGAAAATTAGCAGAACTCGTGTGGCGTCCATCTTGGCGTTCAGGGTACTCAAATGATCCCTTCAAAGACAGCGTGCTTTTATACTCTTCCCAAGCGTAGATCTCCTCGGGTGTTTACACAATTGCAAAACATGAAAAACTAAAAATAATTCGCTTTTACCTTCAGGATGGCTATAAAAGGCTTGGTACTCGTACTACTCCATCTGAGAAGATATCGAAATGGCTGCCAAGATTGTTGTGAGCCTGCTGCTCCTTTGTGTTGCCTCAGAGTTGGTTGCTGCCCAGTGCTCCCAAAAAAGGAGTGGTCTGTGTCCAGTGGTCCAGAACCACAACCCACTGTGCAGGGGAAAACTAAAGTATCAGTGCGTCTGCGATTTTACCTGTTCCGAATGGGATAAGCCCTGCAATTGGGTCCTCACTTGTGAGGCGGAGGTCCTCGCCATCAACAAGGCTCGCGTCAAAAAGAATAAACTACGTAAGTTCCCCTATATCCTTGCCAAAGTGTTCCGCACTAAACCATATTTCCTTGCAGTGCTCTTCAGATTACCCAATCAAAGTCATAAGCAGTGTCTGGACATCAATATCAACACTCACAAGCATATAAACTGTTGCAACTTGTTCTGCCAAGCTAATATTAAAGATGTGTGTTTCTAAATAAATATGTTATGATGCTTTACAAATGGTTCTGTATTTTTTATTTTTTAAACAGTTTATTCGTATTTCATTTACATTTAATGACCTACATGTATACTCCTTGGATTGGTTTTAGCCTTATTGACTTTATTTCACTTTATGCAGCTGGCAAGGCTTATTTACTGAAGTCCAAAATTATCCAATAATTTTGCACAGGTGTTATTGATGAAGGCCGGCAGTCATTATTTACCTGAAGGCAAGCTCTCAGAATTCTCGTGAACTTACGATATTATCGTAAGCAAAATCTAACCAAACTGCAAGCTTTTTTATCCCAAATAGTATATTGTTTATTCAATTATTTTACACATATTCCATGTACACAGGTGTTATTTACTTTGATTAGTTTTTACAGCTATTTTTTTTATTTTTGGCTACTTATCGCTTAATATCTTACGTCATCTAGTGCTTTATCTAATATGTATTTACAGTTTCTGTTCTAGTTAACATTAAATGCAATCTTAGAGGCTATTATTAAGTTAAGCCTACTAGTATCCTATAGTACACGACTAGTTCAGATCGTACATCAACTTCTCAGCATTGTTAGGTTCCTCGCAGTCGAATGAAGCCATCATGAGTTCTGCAAAAAAACAAGCAAAAAATTTGGTAAGAATGGAAAAACAATTGATGCCTAAAAATCAGAAAAATAACAAAACAGTTATCTAAGCTGCTTCGTCCACTTGATTGAAAACAACACTCTAGCCCAGAAAGGACTCAAGGACATGCCCCGGAATCACATTCCCACAAACAGAATTCAAATTGTCCGAAAAATTCTCAGTGATGCGTGCCAAAATGCTCTGCTCTTTTCAATGATGAAAATATCTTTCCGAATATAATATATATCTATGTATAGTGTCCGCTGAATTACTAACTTTATATATTTTTGAAGTAAAATGCTTCTTTAATTTTTAAAGCAAATAGCAGTCTGGGAAGAGATTCCAATTTAAGGGCATTTCGAGTTTCGACTATTTTTAGTTGACCATTCGGCACGTATTAAGTTCCAGGCCTTGAGGAGGGCTCGTCGTTTCTTTATTTGTTCATTTATTTTTAGCTGTCAGTTAAACTTTATGAAGCCAGAAAAATACCATAATTTAATTTGACGTGAAAAACAAAATCATTACCGAAAGAATTTTATCAATTAAATTGTTTTAACTTCTGTAGTAAAATGACCTCAAGTCCTGTATTGGTTATAGCGATTGTATTTAGTTAATTATTTTTTCACCTTCATTTAATATTTATTACAAAATATTTTAAGAAGTCCAAGCTTTCATATGCGTTTTTTTGTAAGACCCAAATAGGAGTGGGCTTAAAAAAGCCCTAACTAGAACAACTTGAACCGGAACTCTGGCCCGGGATTTGGGGTTAGGTTCTGGTCAAGTACTGACAAGTGTGGAATCTCTTTTTTTTGGGTCGGTCCACTTGTATTTTAATAGAAGGAAATTTAATAAAGTTGTAAGAAAAAAGGGCGAATTTTTCTAGCCTTATGTGTGGGTGTTACGTGGAGTGGGGGAGGAGCAGGAGGTGGTGTCCAATTCACACCATGAGCCCCATTAAAATTTTACAATGTTTGGTAGCAGCCTCGTTTGGTCAGCGCTTTTGGCCAACAGATGTGCGCTTGACTTGCCGCAAAATGTGGCATGCCCTGTCCCCTATCCTCCATCTTGGTCCTGCGAAAATCCCCACCATCTCCCTCTCAGTTTGTGTGTTTATCCGATTTGTGTTCACATACTCCGTATGCTTGAGCACAAAAAATTACAAAACATCCGCACGGAACGTAGAATGAGAATTTCCAAAGTTGAGTCAGCAGCATGAAGAAATGTTGCCGTTGGTTATGGAACATGGCGAAAGCCATGGACCCTCCTTTCCCCCATTCTACTTTTTTTTTGGTTTTGTGCCAGGACCGAGTCCTTTCTTTCCACGCTCTTGTTTAGTTTTAATGGAGTCGTGTGTGGCGTGTAAATATTTCCCCCTCTCTCTCTCTCGAGCCCTGGACAACTGAAGATTTGTGAGGCGGCTCGGTTCGGTTTGGTTGGGTTTCGGTGTGGTTCGGTGTGGTTCGGAGGCGTTTGGAACTGGTTACTTTAGAGGGTGAAAACATGGTGTACTCCAACGCCCACACACTGTCTAACTAGCGGTTAGCTGTTAGAAAATCGAAAAAATATGAGAGAGACGCTCGTTTTCCAGAACAACCTCAAACTGATTGCAATATTCATTTCGGAATTCGAAACCTAAAGTTAAGTGCAAGGCTTTCAGGATAAGCCAAACTCAATAAGAAAAACAAAGAGTATTTAAAGAAAGAAATGCAGTTTTCCATTTCAAACATTTTAGTACATACCTTTTAAAAAAATGGAATATGGGTTTCTTTTAATCAAAAATCGGACATCTCTGGGAATTGAGGTTGCTTCATGTGTCACCTAGACAAAGGAACCAAACTACAGAGAATCGTCCACGTCACGCATCTGACCAAAAATAATAGATCCTCCTTGAAGACAATAAAAAATGGCCATCTCGGAGTTGCCGGAGAAATATTTTCAGACTCAGTGAGGCATCAATTACTTTCCTCCGACTCGGAGACCAAACAATAGCCGACAGCCGTAACTACTGTAAAATTGTTTTGACTCCAGCCGAGATGAGGGCCCGAAGAATGACATGCCGGACGGACAGGTGATAGATAACGAGGACAGTCTACGGTCATTTTTCCACTCCCATACCAAGGGATCCCGGTGCTCCGCCTTCTGGTCATGGAAAATTCAGTCAACGAGCTCTAGGAAGAAAATGAAATCTGCCCACAACTGAATGCCAATAACGTGCTGCTGTCAGTGAGCTTAGGATGTGGATGTGACTTTCCGGTGGGTCGGTGGTCCGGGGGGAGGACAGTTACCAACTGCAGTTGGTCCTTATCTGTATGTATTTATCCGGAATGTCTGATCTGTCGGCCGACCTGTCAAGCTCCTACTGACGTTGGCTAAAACAATATAAATCTGCGCATTTTTTACTGCCCGATGGTAAACAGGCGTCCATAAAGTGGTTTACGAAATGGTAGGCCCTTCTATATATTTCCATTCAAATTGTTTATACACGAACTAAGAGTTTAAGGTATTGAATTTCTGGAAATTATGTTGTTTAAATAATAACCAAACATGTCTAATGATTATTAAAGTTTAATTGCTGACGGGGTGTAAGTATCTTAATACTTTGATGGGGTTAAAGCTTTTGATTCCCAACTCGCAACACTCGGAAATCCCATTTGGCCTAAGTACAGATAGGTTCAGAGCCATTTGAATCTGGCTTTCAATTTATAATGCAATTTATAGTTTAATTCCAAACAATGTACAGAATAGACCCCACAATAACCATGATGATGATGATGATGAGAATTAGTGAATGACTTGGCCTGCCATTGAGCCAGGGATAATTTGGCCAGCGATTCAGCTTAATGAATAGTTCAAGCCTTTGGTTTGGAGTCCAATCATTGGCCCGGCCCTAATTACCATATCCAGAGCCTAATGAGCACAATTGAAATAACACATGGCCAAGAAACACCATGGCAAATAGCCATGTATTAGAGGAATTTAAATTCGGGATGCTTGTGTGAAATTCCCTGGACTTGTTGGCTTGATTATGTGGCTATTTGGCCTGCCCTTGAATGAAGTTTGCTTGCTGATGGCATTTAACAATTAATTTAGCACGAATGGAAATTCTGAGGTCCTGACCTCTGACTTTCAGTATGTGTTTGTGTGGAATTATTATTTTAGATGCAACTGGAAAACGCAAACGTTTTCGCAAGAAACCCTGTTCTTAGCCATTTTCATAGCACATCCAAATGCAATTTCTGTACATTGTGTTTTGGCATTTGTGAGATGCTTTTCCCAGTCCTATTTTTCCATTTTCCCTTGCAGACGTGCCACATCAAATAGGCATATCTGTCCTCCCGATTCGCAGGGCAGGATCAGGGTGAACGGGGAGAGGACAGTCAAAGGACCTGTCAGACGTTCAAGGGAATGACGTTTTTTTTCGGTGCAACGATTGTCCTTTTGACTCCTTCCTCCTTTCAGCAGTCATATCACATCGTGGAGTGCCTGCCAGACATAACAATGCTCATGTCGTCAGAAACGCAGAGCGTGTGTGTAGTTAGATTTGCAAAGAAAACTAAATAAAATAAAATAAAATAGAAATAAGGTCAAAGCTGTGCGGAGCGGGAAGGGAAAACAATTAAATGTTCCTGTGATGCTTTGAGACGATTTAAATGCATTCTGTTTTCCGTTTATGCTAAATTTATTTGAGTTTGAAGGATTATTTGAAAGTAAAATGAGTTCTTACGAGAAACTACTAAAAAAACTCCATTTGGTATTCTTCTTACACTGAATCAGCACCTCCATGATGCCATGGGGATGATTATATTGTTAATAACTGCCACAAATATTTAGTTAGCAATTTTCCCCCATTTTCAAACTCGTAAATCCGTGTTGTTTCTTTGGAAATTTCCCTGATCGCATTTTCCCAGCCCGACCGAACGATGCATTCCACCGACATTTCAGTCGACTTAAATCTGAAATGCTTTCCCCCCGGGGTCTTAACAGAGTAAACCAGAGTAAGTCAGCAGACAATTACCTCCACATTAAGGGGTTGTTATTAAAAAATTCCGGGCATGGCCAACATATTTCCCAGCAGAAGAACCAACTGTATATAATTCGCAGGACTGCACTTGCTGTTCGCTTTTTTTAATGTCAGGTAAAAACTTTCAAGAATGCGCCTCGAAAGATTAAGGGCATAAAAACCGAGAATAAGCACTTGTTTAGTCGCAGGGAGGAAATGAAAACACGAATGGCTTAAATCAACTCAAACTGCTATACAAGTGGTCCAACGGGGCCAAAGGATAATACAAAAGGGGAAAGGATAAAAGGCGAAACAAGGAGCGATTATAAAGGCAACGAGATGGAGACGGGATGAGAGTTGATTAAAGTCATGTAATTTGGCAGAGAGTTTATTAAAGTTTTGCCCTTCTCTCTTGCGGCTGGCCAAGAAGGATTCCTGTACGTGTAGACAGAATCTGCTTTATTTTCAAAAGAGTCCTTGACGAGGCAACAGAGGCAGCCAGCAGGTGGCGCTTTGCTGGCTCACTTCCGCTCCTTTCCGTTTCCGCTGGCTGCTTATAAACACGATTATGTCACTGAGGATCTCTGGGTGTGAGGACCTGATATATAACTCTGGTGACCAAACAGCCGGGGGCCCTCCCCCATTTCATTAACAGAAACAGAAACAGAATGAGAAACTTTAAAACGCCGCAGAGGAGCCATTTTATTTCGGTCAGTATAATTTGAGGAGCCGAAAATGCGTTCAGTTCGTCGCCGAGTGATATAAGGAAGACCAACATTTATTTATGCAGTTTTGGAAAGTGCATCAAACTTGGAAATAACTTTTCGACTCCCATAGTGTTCTTTTCCTTCTTTTTTCCTTGTGGGACACTTCGTTTGCATTTACGTTGCTGACGTCGGCTTAAAGTTTAACCAAACTTTTCGACTTGGTGGACAGTTTTTTCGTTTGACTTCTTAGAAGGGAAACTGATTTAGAAGATGTTCGCTTGACTTGGCTAAACAAGCAACTGCAAGAGAATGGCACCAATCCGGGCAAAAACGAGGTGGAAGGCCATTCGGACAGCCTGGAAAACAAGTTTGACATCGATGCAGCATCGAAAACAAATATAACCACAATAACAAGTCCAACTTTCAGCCGGAACTTGGCTAAGTCCTAATGCCGTAAACAAATGGTTTCTAATCTCTTTTTTAGGATTACTCAAATGCAAGGAAAAACTGAAAATGTTATCCTGCTTTTCAGTCCTTTGCTAGGACCATTTTAAATTATTTAACAACCTCTGAAAAAGCCCTAGAACTACATACACAAGTACTTCGCCCTAAAATGAATTTATTACGCATTTATTATTTTTATAAAGGACCCCTGAAATGATTAGGAAAAATGTTGAATTGTAAATAAACAGCTACCTTATTTCAGTACTCACAAAGCAAATTTCTCCCCCAAACATTTTCCACCTCAGAAAGTTTACTGCATACGTGTAAACAGAGAGTTTTCTTGGTTAGCTGAGCCTTCGCTTTGTGTTTTCCCAGCAAATCTCATTTACCTCCCCGTTATGCATGACATGAAGCGTTCCCCGATAAAGTTTTCCAGCTCGAGGCTCAGGCTGTTGATTTTCCAAACGCAGAAAAAAAAATGCTCTGCACCATAAGTTTTCATTCTCCGGCACTTTTTTCTTTCAACTTCCGCTTCTGTCAAGATGCGTTTTGCCGCAACACCCAAAGACAACTTCTCTCAGCGCCTTTGTTGGTATTTGTGCTGTTTTCGCCAGTGGCAAAAGCCTTCAAAAGTTGCCTTCCCCTGCCTTGGTTTATAATGAGTTCGTGGATCCCGTACTATGTGTGTGCTCTGAGTTTGTGTTAGCCACTGCGTTGGTGGCTATAAGTTGAGAAATGTAGCTAAGTATCTAGCTGAAGACTCGTAGGACTTGTAATGAGAAAAAGGAGACTTTCTTGAGGGTCATATGTAGTGTTTTTAAGCTATTAAACGATAATTTTAAAAATATCTTCATTGACAATCTAAATATATTTAAAATTACAAAATATTGCCATGGAAATATCTGTCTTTCTCCTTTAAGTCGACTTACAATTACAAAACCCTTACAAAAACCTTTTATGAAAAAGCTAATTCATCAGCACTGTTTGTCGCTTTTCATTTCGGCAGTTGGTTGCTGCTGTTTGATGTCTTTGCCCGCTTTCATGCAACATGGCCCCCACCCTTCAGCCCGTATAGTTTTTCAGGTTTTTTGTCATGTGCACATTCCGTGAAAAATATATCAACTTGCCGGGCATTGCTGACAGCTCCAAGAAGGATTTACACAAAAAAAGAAAAGGAGAAAGCTCTGGAAAAACTTTTTACGCTCTTCGAAAACACGTGGTGCACCTTGTTGCAAGGTTGTTTTGTTGCCTCTTCGTGGGAGCTGTTTTATATCTTTGTTGTGCTGTCTGAGGCTAGAGGATATGGGAAGTTTCTCAGTTTATATTTACTGAGCTGCCAAGGACTCTGCTATCTTGAAGGTTCAGGACGTGCGGATTAATTGAAGTCTTTATTAAAGCATTTTCAGGCGATTTTTAAGTAGTTGTATTAAATATAAATAAAATATATATTTTCATCTTTGAAACCCAACAGTTTTTGATTTAAAAGCATCCAATCAAATATGCAAATTTTGGCCAGCGATAAAAGTTGAAAATGTTGCTAGCCATAAAAAACGAGGGTATAATTCTTGCATTTTGTTTTTCCAGGTTATTCAATTTAAACTGTTTGTAAGAGGGAAACGGTGTTTAATTTAGCATAAATAACGAACAATATTTTCCACTAAATCTCGCTCTAATCCCGCTCTCCTAGTTTGTCATCATCAGTAATAAAAACAAAGGCTGAGAAGCAACAGCCCGGAAACGAATTGTTATTAAAACAAGGGTTCGCCGGGGTTACTATAGTAACTGCTGAGAGAATGGGGTTATGACTAGTCCGCCGCCAAGTTTTATACAAGTTCATGAACATTTTGTGGTCGTAAAGTGTCTGTCTGTGGTTTTATTGCGGTTATTAATTTGAATTAATTAGCGGCACATCTGCCAAAGAATTGTTTTAAAGTTAAAGGGAAGTTAAATAAGAACATTATGAGCTGCACAGATAAGCCAATACTTTAAAGCAATTTCGAATATGCAGATAAACCAAAAAGGGGTTTACCACTAAAAATGTGGTTGCAGTTGAATATGTTCATAGCCCAGTCACCCTATATTTCCCTTGTCTGTGTTTTAATTATTTTTCTGCCAAATGACTCTCAAATTGGCCTGTGCCAGCAGACGCGATTTTATTTAATATTTCCCACAGGCTTTTCAAACAATTTAACTAGCTTGCGTGGGAATATTTGTATATAGTTTGGGGGAAGTCGCTTCCTGGCCCACTTTAAGTCGCAGTCTGTTGGCCACGGCACTGTTAAAGTTTACACAAAGTGAAGAAAAACAAACCAAAGTTAGAAAACGACTCACTATAGCAAGGCGAAGACTTAAATACACTTTTCAAATGTTTTATTTATTAAATTCCCCTCTTGCGGTTATGTAGGAAAAAACAATGCTGTTTACTTAAGTTACTTTAAAGAGTCTTTTCTTTCTGAGTATTTTTCGAAGCCTTTTCCATCTTGAAGGGTATAAGAACTCTGCAGTCACCGAATACCAAGGAAAAATGTGCAAAAATGCGATAAAATACGTGGAGAGTGCGAGCGAGGAAAACAAGTAAAAGTCCGAGGGGAGGGTGAAAAGTTGAGGACCCTAGCGAATATTACTTACCCGCCTCGCCAAGTTTCGCTGTTTGCTGCATGTGCCGGCAGAAGTGCTCGTACTCCCCGCTAGATGGCGCCTGTGCCGCCTTCATCGCCTGCATGTGTTTGGTAAATGCCCCAACAATGGCCGCCATTCGATCAAAGGCCGCCATATTGATGTGGCCATTTGCTAAGCTGCAAGAAGAGGAAAAACCAGAGGAAAAGCGGAAAACATAAGTGCGAGTGCAAATGGTGAGAAAAGTATGTTTTGCTGGTTGATAAAAGGTCAGAGTTTGTGTTTGCCATGCAAAATGGAAAAAGCTATCCAGAAAAGCACAGCCAAAGGAGCTAAAAGGGTGCAATACAGTGAAAAATCTTACTGTATCTTTCTTTATTTTAGAATCTTAAAAGAATGCATAGTAATGATGTTCCAGTGTACTTTATTTAACAATTAGCGCATTGAAAAGTCGATTCACGCTTACACGCTTCATTTCATGGCAAAACTGGATGCGACATTGAAATTTTCCGATTGAATGTGGACTTATTTGGCCTTTTTCTATGGCCATCCACTGCGTACTGATTATATTTGAGAGAATGAATTGCTCCAACGGCATGTGTACGCATTTGTGAGTCTAATGAGGTCAATTGTGGCCACCAGTGGTCGGCGGTGCATACTTTATTGTTTGTTTCAGCTTGGTATCGCTTTGTCCAAAAGGGAGGGGATTTGGGCGAGCAAAAGGCGTGATAGGGCTTAGATTGGGACCATATATGGTTCAGGGTTCTAAATGATGCATTTAATGGAAAATTAGAGGCGGCGGCAAATAATCGGAATGAATAATTAAAGATATCTGCCATTTGGGCTTTATGGGAAATAAATTGTAAATAAAATATTGCCATTATGCTAATTTTTTAGACAGCATATTTTTGTGGTAATATTTAAATAATTATTTAAGCAGAACAATAGGCAACACTAATTGCTTATAATATTAATGCAACAACCCTCAAAGTTTAATTAAGAGATAACAGGCACTGATGGAAAAAAGAACAAAATCCATTTTATTATTAAGAACATTTTTTAGCAGATAAACAAAAGCCTTAATAATAAAATCTGTTTTAATTATTGTTGTGATTGTTCCATCACTTGTCCAAGTCAATTAAAAATAAATGCTTTAGAAAAGAATAAATATATATATTTAATTTGAAGCGATTTTCACTCTTCAACGTTTGCCATAAAAACAAATAAAAGCGAGCGAGGAAAAGCTATTTATGTTCTTTTTTATGAATAAGCATTAAAATGATTTTCCGCCTTGTCGTTTGGCACATAATCATTTATTTTGCCACTCTGTGGTTAATTAAATTTAAATCGTAAATAAATATAAATGAGAGTATAAATGCGTTCGGGAGGTAAGTGAAACGAAAGTCGAGTGCAAACGCATTTGTTGGCCGTTGCGAATGGGCAATATATTAATCATACGACCCTTTGGCCGCTCAAAATATATATATGTATACTATATATATTTGGCCTGGATTTGGTCCAGGCAACTCTCGATGGGGACGCATCAATCAGGGCAGGCAAATTGAACTTACCGCTGCAAACAGTTCTCACGCTCGCCCAATGCCAGTTTAACAATATCCGCAAACACTGGAATAACAACCCAATCATTTGGCTTTCCCGACGTTGCTAATGGTGTGGTTGCTGGTGCCGTCGGGTCCGATTTTGCTGCCGCACATGCTGCTGTTGCCGCTGCAGCATCCACATTGCTGCTGCCAGCCGCAGGCATTGGTGCTGATTCCATTGTTGCAGCTTTGAGGTGCACAGAAAGAAATAGTTATTAGGCTAAGTAGCATATCAGAATATGATTATCCAATAAGAAAATAAAATAACTTAAGACCAATCTTAAAGGATTTGTAACGAGTTAAACTTATCGAAAAAGAAATAAAATGAAAAGCTGATTAGATGTAATGTTATTTTCTGTGTAAGGGTTTGCATTCCTACCGGAAGTGCCCGTTATGCCAGGCACTCGGCCACTTGTCGAGGGCTTCTCATCCAAGTCGGGGATTGCAGTGGCCATTGATGATGTGGCAGGTCCTTTCGCCTTACCAGAACCCTGCTCCTTGGGCTGCTTATCAGTCTTGAGACCCTCCTGCTGCTCATTTAAGACGATGGCCTGCTTCTGCCATAAATGTCCATGGCCCTCGGCATGGCGCTGCATGCAGTCCAATTGTTGACACGTCACTTGCAATTTACTCCACTGTAATCAAATCGAAATCCATAAATGAGCATCATTTGTAGTGGCAATCTAGATACGCTCCTCATTCTCCCTTTCCCACCAGCTTGGGATTCCCCAATTCCGTTTTTTGTTTCGCTCTTTTTGGGCTGTAAAAGTTTATGGTTTTGTTTGTTCTGCGTCGGTCTGTGTGAGTTTTATGCTTGTCATTTGCCCCGCAAAGCTTTGGATCGAATTTTATGGGCTACATTTGGCCTTCGCCTGATAACATATTAATTAGGATTTCCAGAGTCATCAGGGAAATGCCTTCGGGGATTTTACAAGCATTATACTGAAAAAAGGGACACATCTTAAGCGGGATCTCTGATATTTATTGTGTTTTTTTTTTCATTGAAAAACATTTTGAAGGGAGGCTAAAAGTTGGTAGCTCGTTAAGAAAAACATTTATAATAACATTTCGCACACCTCTCTCGCCGCTGTGGTGGATAATTTAAAGTTTGGAGTTTTTCGTGAATGCACTCGGCCACATTTATTACCATCGTCCAATGCGAACTCATAAACATTTCAGCAGCAGCTATAGAAATATATTTGTATACATATATATCTCTCGAAAACACAATGCACACGACACGCCCACTTTTTGCTGCTTGAATTTTGCATAGTTCTGGAAATTTATGCAATTCCCTTTCATTTTTTATTTGGCAAGGGTTTTCATTTTTTTACTTCTCGCTGCATACTTTTCAGCGCCCATTGTCCGCAAAATTTATAGAGAAAAAAGGCAGCTAGACAAGGAATTAAAATATTGCAGGGAAAAGGTGAACAAGATGTTGAAATTATGGATTTAATTGTCATGGTTTGTAAGGCTTGTTTATTAATGAGTTGTAAAAAAAAGTGTTAGCATTCCAGGTAGAGCGTTATTAATCAAAAGGCTCTTAGTTTATTTTCTCAACAATCTCATTTGGCTTACAGCTTAAACATCAGAATTTATATATATTTTTTATTAGACTGAAACATTTTCAACGAATCAGATATAAGCCGAATGCTTTTAAGTACCAAAAAGCAACATTAACTAACTTTTAACTTGATTTTTTCATTATGAGTGGGCAAAAAGGAAAACCTAGGCTAGTGTTAAATTGCGGCGGCAACAAAGAAGGGCAGGAATGCGGAATCCATTAACTAATTAAAAAGTTTTTTAATGAAAACTAGCTTCATTTGCTGCTGAATGCACGGCAACACGCTGCGGTCTATTGAAGGAGCGGCCCGAAAGGACGAAGAGCGAAGGACGAAGGACGAAGGTGCGGGCGATGTGCCAAATAAGTGAGTAAATATATAAACTTGATGAAATTGGGCCAACTGCAGCGAAAATGTGGTTGCTTGGGCGTGGTCATCTCTTTTTCACTTCTCCCACTCAATTCACTTTTTTTTTTGGCAGCCAAAAGAAAATCTTTATGTCGGTGGGAAAACTTTTGTTGTTATGACAGCATGGCGAACCATTATTATTTAACATTTTTCTTTCATTAAATTGCAGAAATATAACCATAAAATTATTCCAAATTTAAATCTTCTAATTCACAGGCAGAACAAATAGCAATGGCCCGGGCATCTCCATTACTTCTTTCAATATTTAACTTCTTTCAATATTTAACTCTAAATCTTTTAAGCTCTTTTCGCCAAAATGCATTAGGCTGCATAAATATCTGCTGACACGGACAAATATCCTAGGCATTGGGTCCGGCCTCGAGGCGAAAGGATTTTCTTCGAGCTCACAAAGTGCCAGGAAAAAGGATGTGATGGAAGGGAACACCAGAGATAGTCATAGTTTCTTTAAGCAAAAAGCTCCTTTGGCTTGTTGCAATGGCGAGTCTTGATAGTTCTTTGGAGGGTATATTCACTATAATATGATTTACATTTCATTTTTTATTTGAAGTTTTTTGTTAACTGAACAACAAACTAACTAACCAAACATTTCAAACGAAAAGAAGAACAACGATATTTGATATTTGATTAATAAAAGTGTATTTCCCTTTCACCAATAAACTTTTCTGTTATTTTCCATGAAAGAAAATGGCCTCTGGGCGCTGCCTTCCAACTTTGAACAGCATGCAATTACAGTGCACACATAAGCATTCAGTTGCACACTCATACATATGGCAAAAGGAACAATTTTATTATCCTGGCTCCTCGTACTATACTCTTTGAGCAAATGATTATACTGGTGCTGTAGCTTACGATAACTTTGGCTTAGCTTAAGTTTCAGATCTCCGAGTTTATGGAAATTTCGTTGCTGAAATGTGTGCCATTCAGCATGTGGAAATGCCAGGGAATTGATGTCTGGGCCAAATGATATTCCATTTGGCTTAGTGACTTTGCCACGCTTTATGCTGTATTATATTATGCAAAGGCCGCCGTTGTGCTGTTTAAGTCCAATTAAAGTTTCACTGCGCCATTTGCCGGAGGAATTATGAACCAAAAACCCATTTCGCCGCCTTGCCACGTAATTTGCCTATAAAACTGTTGTCTATTTAATTTCAGGCATTTATTTCTCAAATTTATGGAGGAGCACGTTCCTGTGTCTGTCATTATTCGCTGTCTTTTAAGTTGGAATCGAGGAAAATTAAGTTTGGCTTTCGCTTTCGCTTTTCGAAAGTTGAAGAAAAGTTGTGATTTAAGTTTAAACGTAGCTTTAAATCATTATCTCATTTTAATTGATAATCTATCTGTTTTTTATGAATTTTCCCAATTAATTGGATTTCAAATTCAGTCAATATAAGCTATGTTTACTCTAAATTAAAAGGCCTTTATTTAATTTATCGATTTAATCGTAATTAGATTGAACCCAAAGGTATCAATCCTGTTTAAATAAAACCCCCAGCGGCTAGTTAATAAGAACCAACAAATTATATCCCGCAGTAATAATTTTTCCATCGAATTAGTTTTTGTTTGCGATAAATGAAAATAATATAAATTAGTTTTTTTGGTCTGATACATGGACACCATATATCAGCCGACCTTTTTTTCGATGTTTGTCATTAATTACAGCTTTGCACAAATTAAATTGAAATTATTCGGCATAGTTTGATAGTTGACTCACCGTAATTTTAAGCCTAGCTATGGCCGGGGATTCCAGGGACTCCAAAATGGCCGTGGCACTATTGTAGTTGCCCACAAGCAGGCAATATTGGGCCACACCACTCCAGAGTTCCACGGTTCGACTTCGTCCCTCGATTCCAATGCTCTGAACGGAAGGAGAAAACAATGATGTTACAGCGGGTATGGGTGTAGGGGTACGAGGAAAATGAAAGATTTATTTGATTACGGAAGTTAGTTAGACGTTGGAGGGCATGGCGGAAGGGGGCTTCGGACACGGACACGGCTGGACCCACGTGACTTGGGCAAAGTTTTAACGAGTCGCTTACACGGCCAACTGGCAAACTGTCAATGAGACAGTTACGAATGGCATAAATTATAAGCCATCTTACCAGCCAGCCTGCCTGCATGCAGCCCTTTTACAGCAGCGGTCACAAAAATAGAAACGGAAAAGAAAATTAATGTTTCTGGAACCATTTTAATGAATTAAAGATCTGAAGTGGTATTTCTATCTTTTCATAAGTACTCTTGATGGTCGTCAGCTATGGTAACAGTCTTAAATGGCTATTTCTTTGACCGCAGCTGTAGCGAAGAGGACTTTTCTGGACGTGCTCTCCCTGCATATTCAACATGCATGGGAATTTTAATTCAATCCACTGGGTCTAAGGACTCATGCGCTACGTTTAACTTCAGAAGAGGACTCCGAGTTGGAGTTGAAGGGAAGCGGAGTATTCGTGCTGACCCCCGAAATGGTTATGAGCTGGTCCACTCACCTGCAGGATCTCATTGCAGACAAACAGACGGAGACGTGCCGACCAATCCAGATAGGTTTCCAGGTTGCACGTCTTCTTTGGATCCTGGGCTCCTGGCGGTGCGCCCGACGTGGATGGTTGGTCCCATTTCTTCTGCATTAAAAAGGCCAAAAGAACGGACGGAATTCAGAACTGAGAACTGGCAATTGTTGTTGAAATGAGGTGGGTAATGGAACGGCGGGGGGCATTGTTAATGAAGCTGCTTGTCGTCATTTTAATTGCATGTCCTTGTAAGTCCTGGCGAGTGTGTGACTGCCAGTGTGTGTGTGATTGTTTGTGCATGAGAGTGCTCTGTGTAATTTATGCAAAACTGCAGATTGTTCTTCTGGCGAATGTTGACTTATGCAGAGGGAAGCATTCGCCATCGAGCGGGCGTTTAACTTGAGGAATATAATTTAATTTAGATGAGGGTGTTCCTTTGAGCGTAAAGATGGGGGGATTTGTTTTTTAAAAAAAATTAAATTGAAATTTTATGTATTTGCAGTTCTCAGCATAAATTTTAATTGGATAGTTGGAAGGGAAATAATTTATATTTATATTTATTTAAAACATCTTTCTTTTGGTTATCCCTTAAGTTGGTTATGTTTTCCCTTAAGTGCTTACCTGTTTATCGAGCAGGATCATGCTGCTGCACTGAAGGAACTCCTCGCCGCCAATGTGCTTGGCCAACTTCTTTTCCAGCCGACAAACGATTTGTGCGTACAGCGTGGCCGTCGGACAGTTGAGTGGAGTATCTACGGCAGACTACACGGAAAAGCCCCACAGAACGGCATAATGGGGAAAACGAGGAAAACAAGACAATTGCCGGAGATTAGGCAGATTGTTTTTAGGCCACTCAGTGCTGCCAACTTAGCTAGCTTTGCTATGAAAGAAGCTAAAAGCCAAAACTCTTTTTCGGAGATTTCTCAAATTTTTAAGATAATTTCTTTTATATATTTGTAAGGAAATAAATTAATCTAGCTCAAAATTTTCCCTATATTTAAGTCCAAAGTTGGCAGCACTGACCCACGTGCTTGCAGCATCCACTCACCTTGTCGTTGGTCTGGCAGGCTCGAAGGTCCGCCTCATGTCTCTCTAAATCAGTCAGTCGTTTTAGTAAGGCACTCAGTGTTTGGGAGACGGCGGCTTCCAAATGCGAATTGGAACATCTGTGCCGAGAACGATTGGATGCAATTTGGACTGGGGCTGAAAAGCACTTTCTACTCACCTGGCAACGATATGTTTGACATGGCTCATCATCCGCTCATCCCGATAGTCGTAGGGGAACTTCATCGTCCACTCGGCCAGCAGGGAAACCAGGGACTCTAAGCATTCGCTATCAGGTACCGAGTCCAGCAGTCTGCCCAGCAATTCATGGGGTCGCAGGAACAAGCGGCAGGATAATAAAAACGAGAATACAAATTCCTGCAAACGGAAATAGGAAAATGTCAGAAATGATTTAGAGGGAGAATCACGAGATTATCCTAACTAACAGGATAATAAAACACAATTCTCAAGATTGGTCGATCCAAGAAGACTAGGTTTTCCTAGATGTATATAATATATATCCAACTTTATGTAATAAAAGTTTTATAGGGAAATTAGTAAATATTTAAGATAGTTAATTCCATACAAGTATCTTTGTTTAGTTTGGTCTTCTGGGCTGGAAGATGCCGTCAATTAGTTGTGTTTTTCTGTTGAATTTTCCTAACTTTTCCTTGGCCAAGGGCATTCCACATCAGCCCTATCAAATTAGCGCTAATCTCTGGATTTGTTTGCAACGAATTAATTATTTTTGCACTTGCTGCCTGTGGCCTCAGAATGGTCGGTCCTACACACAGGAATGTCCTTGTTCGTTGGCTTTTGGTCCCTTGTTTCTGAAAGCCCCTTGGGCCTGGGGTCCTTGATCCTGGCCAAGGACTCGCCGGGTTGTCGGTTGCCCTCTGGTTTGTGGTTTTTGGCTCGTGCCAACAGACTTGGCCGGCGTTCAAGTCTTTAAGTGTCTGCGACTAAGTAGAAACTGATTTGTATTCCATTTGGCGTGTACAATACGATTAAGAAGCGACGAAGCCGGGAAATTTATCGAGGCTTGGCTTTTTTATCTTTAACCTTTTAAATTGTTCTCTTTTTGACTTTGAATTTAAGTTGGATATATACTTAGGTAACTTATTCTGAAAATAAACCCACCTTATCTAAGTCAACGACATCCTTGGGCAAGAGTGTTTCGATGAGGGAATCCAATGGCCCAGAAACTATTCTACCGTTTATGTACATGATGCCACCGGAACCCAAAACCGAGCTCTGCGAAAACAAATGACAGCATATGACCATATGACAGCAGTCGAACAAAGGTTTAATTAAAAAATTGTTGCCACACAGAAATGTAAACTAAAATCAAACCAATTTACTTAGCTAATTAAATGCTGGCTGATGACAGCCAAACGAAAACTAAAAACAGAAAATTATTATTATTGGGGGACAAACAATTGCCCTTAATTACCACATCGCTTACCTCAAAATTAATATCACATTTGCTGCGCTTGTGCGAATTTTTGGGCACATCATACTGGACCAGATCGTCGTTTTTGGGTCCAACCGATTGTGTGGTGCCAAGCTGGGAAACCAGTCAAACAATACCGAAAATTAATGAAATATTGAGGGTTATTGAAAGTGTTGACTCTGGCAGAGATTTAGAGCCCTGCTGTGTGTTTCGTATTAGAGAAACCGCAAAGTGAAACCGTTTTGCGGGTTTTGTTATTTTCTGTTCGGTTGACTTTCTGACTGCAAACTTAGAACCAGAATAATTCATTAGGCAGATGAATATATTTCAGCAGACCCTTAAAGTCTTAGTGAGTAATGTTCCCACATATTTGTGTTCATTTCCCTTCAGCTCTTCTTAAGAATGGTTCTTTAAAGTTCTTAATTTTGGAAGACTACTCACCTCTAACTGCTGAAACCCCATTTCCAGATCGTAGGCACTCAGCTGCTCGGCACTGTGTCGCCTCCTGTAGCGAATGTTGCCTGCCAGAAGGGCTGTCTCCGCCGTCAGATGTCCCGGATCCAGGGAGAATATGCCGCCAGGAGGTCCCTGTAAGCCCACTCCTAGTCCACCTCCTGATTCCACTACCGACTCGCCCATCTCCAGGCAGCAGTCATCCGCAGACTCGCTGTCGGAACTGCTGCTATTACTGCTAATGTGGCACCGCCGACGGTGGTGGCGCCGGTGGTGCTGATGGTGGTGCCTCTGACATTTGTCCCGATCGCGTTGACCCCGCGACTTCTGCAGCACGGTCTGCTTGCAACGCGTTCCGCAGGCGATGGCTGATATCTTGCTGGCATAAAAGTACATCGCCATGTGTCACGTTCGTTTCGCCGCTCGTGACGCGGTCATGTGTGTGGGGCTGTTTTGGTTCTTTTTCCGGCTCCTGGTGGGTGGTGGGTGTTGGGCGGACTTTCCTCCTCGACTTTCCTGCCTATTTAATGCATGGGCACGCAGCGGGCAGGTGGCAAGTTGGCCTTTCTCATGACTGGGCACGTCCAATCAAACTTCAATTACGAGAAGGATTAGAAGCTACCTGCACGGAGAGAAATCAGGGGGATTTATTTTAAATATTTTAAATTTTAACAACATTTTTAGGGAATAAAATCTTCTAAGATCATGGAAATTAAACTTCCAACATCCATCATAAGCCCTCTTCAAAGACGCTCTCTCTATCAGTAATCTATAAAAATAAGGCTTAACTTTTCTTTAAGTGCATAAGTGCCACTAACCGGAGGGCTTTCGAGCAGTGTCCAACTCCCTGGTGCCGGATCAGCATCAATTTCATTTCGTTCTCCACTTGGTTTTTCCAATTTCTACACTGGCTATAGAGGCGGCTTTTGGCTTCGGCCCACGCAGGGGGCAAATCAAAAATCAAATCTGTGAAAAACTGCGACGTTTTATGGCTCACTGGGCCGCGCGGCGTCAACAAGTCAACGTTGCGGTCAATCCCAGCACATTACTCATACGCCGCGTGGCCGGGGCAGGGAAAGAGCTTAAATCACTGCATGTCGGCCATTCCATTCCACGTATGTGCGAGCGTGCGAATGGGGGAGTGTGGGTTAGGTTATGGTTGGTTAGGGTTATTATCCCCTTTGGGGCCACTTGCGACTCATCAGCCCATAGACATGTGCGCATCATCAATAAGGGCGTAACGATGGCGGGCAGGAGATTGGCCATCACCCGGGTCGATGGCAGTCATTAAATCACTGCAGATGCGTTAAGGGCCAACGCACAAAAATCACAACTGATGTATGGATGGGTTCAAGGTTATCAATGAATAAACATTTTACCCGAGAAATACCCTTAGAGGGGTGTTACTGAGGGGAAGGGACTTGTTTGTTTGCTCAGCCGGAACTGAGGGTTAAGCTTAACATTTTGGTTATCTATGTGGATTGGTTTATAGTATTTATTTCTTTAATTTGTATAACTTTCAAGTCTCTACTTAAATTGAAATTCGTTCTGTACGTGCCACAAATGAATCCATCAGGGAATACATTTTAAGCCCTTTGGAGAAGGAAGCGTGCCCGAGAAACTCACTCCCATATTATGCAACACGTTCGCGTTGTTTTTTGGGGCATTGGAAGGTGGCAGGCCGAAGACGGCGGCAGTTGGCTTTAATGGAGATTAACCACGCACAAAAGATAACGATGCCACGGATGAAATCTACATATCATATTAAATATGCAGACACATGAATCGGATTTGGGATTCCGAATCGGAAGGCGTTGTGCGTGTGGGGCTAAAAGGAATCCCATATACCGGAAGTGCCTCTTGGCACCTGACCAACTGAATATGGAAATGAGCGAGGAAATCCAATTTCTATTAACTTAATGCCTGCTCTGTTATTGGGGCCATCTTTTGTCGGCTGGAAATTGAACAGCTTCCCAAATATTTCCCAGGAAAAATCAATGTAATTGACGCCAAGGCCAGGCCACCGAATCGAATGCTCCTTTGATCCACTCCAGATTCATTTACTCCGACATCCCCCAGCCACAACATTGGCGTCACTCGCAAATTGCCAATTAAGGCAACACACTTCTGCCAGTGTGTGTGTGTGTTTCTATATACTATTTTTATTTTTGTTCTATGCGATTTGTTCATTACACAAGCCATGCATAATAAATCATTTTTGCGTACAATCTGCATTTCCATTTTGACAACAAAAAGGGATTACGGGCTTAGCTATTCAAATAAAATGTATCTCTGACGGGTCCATCAATAAATCGCCTGCCATTCAATATTGAATGAGTCAATTTTGCAGCTTAGCAAATTGAATACAATTTTTTGGTAAAACGGATCAAACGGATAATTTTACCAAAGAATATTTTGTAGTTTTCTAAGCAAACATATGTTGCTGTTTGTTGCCCAACATTGGTAAATAGACTGTGTTTCTTTTTTTTTATTTTACTGTACTTTGTACTGAACAAAGCTCACAAGGCTGCATAATCTGGTCAATATGTGTTGTAAAATGGCCAGTGTAAGGGAAATGTGAGGAGAGGATTGTGTCAAAGGAAAATGTTCACAAATATGGGCAAGGGTATGAAGATGTGAGGCCTTATCTGCGTACAGTTATGTCCATAATTATAGTAGTAGTAGTAGTTATATTCCACATTTATAACAATAAAATAAAGAAAGACTTGTTTAGTACTTGGATTTGTTTAGGAGGTAAAATTTACTGCTTTCCTTGCAGTTTTCCTTGCCCTGCCACTATTTTGTGGTATATATCTGTAAATATTTACATTTGGCGTTGCCTACATTTCGGGGCAGCAGAGCATTGCCATGCTCAAGTGAGCGCAACAAAGGCGGAACACACACACTCAGACACACAGACAGAACTTATGATATATATTCCGGTTGAAAGTTGTACACACTTAACTACAAGTTATGCCGGTCGGATCCGCCCATCGCCAAGGATATAGACAAAGAGTGGAGTGGAATAAATCTTTGTGCCATTTTCCGTTGGTCCGAAGTCCGGACAGAAGCTTATTATAATTCCAATCATGTCGCCAGACTGCAAGGCTAGAATCTATGCAGAAGGTTGGCAAATGAAATATTTTCAATTTTAATATTGACAACGTTGGATTTTTCTTTCTTTTCGGGGCCAAGTAACCCGGCAACAACAATCGATTGGGAATGGTTGGTGGGTTCCGGGGGGTGGATGTTCAGGGAATAAAGAAAAAATATCAATATGGCTGACACATTTTATTTCGTTTCAATGCCCATTACCGAACGCCCTTGTCTACACTTTTCCGCTCAAGAGCACAGAAATAAAGTGAAATATAAGCACAAAAAAATCAATCAATTATGTTAAGCACAATAAACTTATTTCGGGAAGGTCGTACATTGATTGTGAATAACTTGGGTTCTGCGAAATGAATATTAAGAGGAGTTTGAGAGGAAGTTTGGTTCTCCCGCAACAATAGCTATAAATCTTATAGAAACATATTTTTCTTATAACAGAGTTCAGAATTTAGTATATAATATGGAAATGCCTTCATGTAGTTACTAAAATATGCTGAAAGCATTCCAAAGAAGTTCGAACAGGATGGAAAGTCTCAAAGTGGCTTATGCGAAATTAATATCAAGTGAAGAGGAATTTTCACTCTCCACAACATATCCTTCGGCAAAGAGTAATTATCACACAGATTTTAACCATAATTTCTCCATCGTTTGCTCTATGGCATGACCGCAAAAATCCTTGTTGGTTTCACTTGCTCTTGGCCTGTGGACAAGCTTAATTATTAATAATATAATTAGAGCGAAATGCATCTGCTGGTGGCAGGCTGTTGTTTTTGTTGGGTAAGAAATTGGTTTGCGGTTGAAGTGAGTGCTCAGTGCGTTTAACTTTAAACGGGAGTTTGCCTGTTAAATATCATTGAATATCTGCATCCTGAATGCTTTGCATATTTTTATGCCAATCTCAACTTTGGCCGCACTCCAAATAAGTCTCGGGCTTGGTCCTGGTCCTTGTCGGCGGCGGCGGCGTTGGTCTCGAACCCCAAGGAGCAGCTGCTGCAAGTGTCCTCGAATCTATTAGCATAAAACTGATAAAAATAAACTGATGTCGTTGTCGTTGTCGCCGTTGTCGTCGTTGTCAACAAGCAGCAGTGGCAGTGCAAACAAACAACGACAATCAGCCAACAAGAAACTGGCAACAAATTTGCGTTGCTTTTGGCTAAGCACTTTCAGCCAAGAAGGACAACCGCAGAATAGCTTAGAATCGAGCTGCGAGAATTTCCATTTTTAGAGCTTCATTTTGGTCAACTTATTTCCGCTTTGATTAAAGTTTCCTTTGTTTAAAATATTAAGTTTTCGATTTTATCATAAATTGTACTTGTCACAGAAATGTTTTCATATTCTCTCTTCCCTGGATAAATTATTTTTATTTTTTTTAAATACTTCACTGGTTTAAGTTGATTATATACTTTTCTCATTTTCCCAGTTTGAGTTGCTATGTTGTTTACTTTCACTTTGCTCGCTTTGTATTTTGTATTTTTGTAGTTTGCTCTCAATTTTTTTTATGTTCCACGGGATTTAAAATCAATTATGCCTTTGCTGTTTTCCTCTTTTTGTTGTTATTTATTGGCAAATGCTTTTTGCAACGACGAAGGGCATTGGCAAAAAAAGCCATTGATTTCTCATATTTATCACTTTATTGCATTTGGCTCGCAAATGGAAATTTTTCATTTAATGCTTTACTAGCCATTTAACTATTTATTTAAAACATTTGATTTGTAGTGATAGTTTTTTTTTTTGGGTGATATGTGAGCCATGGGTCGTAAAAAGTGATTTTAATAGGATTACAGCATTCTAGGATTAAAAATATTTAACCACACTTATTTATTTAACACTTTCCGGGAGACATGAGGTTGTTTATCATGAACAAAACATTAAATTCATATCAATTGTTTTAGCAAACAAAAAATCAAATAAAAAAGAAAGCAACACTGTGCAGGAGGAAATTACTTCTATTCAATGGTATCCAATAAAACACATTAACTTTTTGCTTATCAAACTGCTTGTTTAATAGGCTTTTAGGATTAAAGGAGATTTATCACACATTTTGGTTTTTTAACACTTGACGATGCTGACAACATAATTCCCAGGCGATTAACCTTTTTCCCCAGGAAAGAAATTATTTCAAATTTGTATTTTTATGTTAACTGTTTTCTTTTTCTATTTTATATTTTTATTACAAATGAATTAAGTATTAAATTGCATTGCAAAAGGGTTTGAGTCTTTACTCTTAAACTTCGTCAACCCTCTCCGCCACCAAGTTTTAATTGCTTTGGCTATCCACTGTCTCTACAAGCGTTTAAATAAGATACAACTTTCCTCACATTTTCCTCACTTTGAGTCGTTTTTCCCTGCAGCTTGAAGGACAATCTGTATTTACATTAGATTTAATTAGCATTTCTCACGCTTTTGTCTGCGGACTGAAACGTGCGCTAATAAAAGTTCCTTTCAAATTACATTGACATTGTCTCCGGGCTTGTTAACTTGGCGCCATTTGTAAGGTTTTAACGAAGGCAAAGTTAAAAAAGCACTTTTCACTTGATTTTTACCTCCTCCCCGCCTCCAGATTTTTCAACTCGACTGACAACTTTTCTGCCTGGCTGACGATTTTCACTAGGAAAAGCTTAAAAGAAAAACAAAAACCTCTAAACGAAAAAAATGAAATAAAAAAGCGGCAAGAAAACTGTCAACGCCATGGCTTTGTGCGTCATAAAAGTGGCGCAAGAGGAAAACCGAAATTAAATTACTTTGACTTTCGATGTTGGACCATAAAAAATGCATTTGGGTCAGCGTCCTGAATTTGTAGTGGGCCTAAAATTAATGCAATGCCAGCGACAAGGAACCGTATTTAATGACTTTTGAATTGTTTTATCGGACAATTTATTACAATCACCGCATCGACCAGGCAACCGCAATAAACCTAAAGCCATGCAAATTATTCTCTCTCTTTTTTATATCATTTTGGATTTTTATCTGCTTTTCACATTTTTATGGCAGCTCTATGCCACGGAAAAAAGCCAAGGAAATCGGCTCAAAGTCTAAAAGTATTTGGGCATCATCATCAATCTTTTTCGGCAAAATGTTGCCGAACTGCACTGCCAAGACAATTGACAAATTGGCGATAGGGTTTTCCGTTGGTATTTTCCTTGAGATGTGTTTATGCAAATGCAGCAGCTCAGAGTAGGTGGAAATTTGATATTCCAAGAAAAACGGGGGAAAAGTTAATCCTAATGGTGGGGTAGGGATATGAATGGGATGGTCTAAGATTTATTTGATTTAAATATAAATTTAAGTGGCAGTGATACGTGAAGGTGTTCCAACAACTCGAATGTAATATAATATTGATTAAATATTTGAAAAATATTTTTACATTTAATTACATATAAATATTAAATAACCTCCTTAAATATTTTGAAATATCCACAGCCATCCTGGGGAATCTTAATTACAGGATGTATTTGCTCGGATGTATGCCAGATATTTCATCAATTAATGATTCTCCATTACACGATTGCAGTGGAACTCAAGGACTTGCTGGACAGTTCCGTTCGATCCATTAATCGAAAATGCATTATTGTTAAACAGGCATAAGTAAATGGCAGTCGGTGTCCGAGTGCGGAAATGGACAGATTTAAGCCCACTGCAATGGCCAGCGCGGATGGGTTAATAAAAGCGCACGACAAGGCCGAAAGCGGTAAACAAACTGTTGGGGAAATAACAACATATATGTGCCATGTTGGTATGTTGGTATATCAGAGGCAATGGGGCACCCGACATTATCGACATTACCGGTTAACGGTAACGGTTACGGGAACGCATAAATTATGCATCATTTTCCGAAGGAATCCTCTGCTGCGTTTGCGAATTTTTGCTCTTTTTATCGCATGAATTTTAAGCGAGTGAAATGCTTTCCCAGTTATGTCAGTGTCTGTGCGTGTGGGTGGGTGGGTGTGCGTGGTAGAAATTACAAGTTAATCGATCGTTGCATACTTACTGGGGCAGTCAGTCGGCTGGAACCATATGCGATACTACTTATTTATGCCCGCCAAAGAACACTTTCAGCGATTTAAATTCATATTTATTGATTTTTTGTTAAGAAATCGCTGCTCTGGCTACTGCAATAAATACAAATTGCGTTGAATAGGAATCCAAACACTGGGTGTGGTATCCTCTCAGTCAGTCCCTCGATTTGACTGGCTTTCTATTAGGAAAATGTAGGGAACCTTTTGGGATCTGGTAACTTTTTATCGTTGGTTAATGATTTATTGGTACTCCGATCTCATTTAAAGTAAAAAACAATCACTTTTCTTTTGATATTTATTTTTTTGTGGTTAAATTCTAAAATTTTTGTTTTTAGTTTCATAACACAGTTTTTATAAATAAAATTATTTTTTTATTTGTTTTTACTTTTTTTAAAAAATCTTTTGGGTTTTTGCACTATTCCGCCGCACTGTTATATCCGTTCCCTGAACCGCACACTTACAGAATCCCCGACGAACTGAAGTGGTGGACCAGTTTCGGCAACCATGTTAAGCTAGGTTCGACACTTAACAGAGCTCTGTTAATGTTTGGAAAGGGAAATTTAATACCATAACAAAATGTTCTTCAATCAAACATGTTGCAAGTCCTAATACGCTTTTAGGAACTCGGTTTCTGTGGAACTAACACAGTTTTTATATAAAAATAAATAAAATAAAGAGCTGACACAAATACAATTATGTTTACTTGTTTGTATTTGGAGTAACAGAGAAATGACCTAAGTAAATAAAATCAAAAAGTTTAACCCTTAGAGCTAAGTTCTACTGGTTATAGTCCTCCTACATTTCTCGAGTGCCACCTGTCAGTGGTAAGACCTCTCCGCAACTCCATTTCCACGTCATCCGGCGCAACAAATTGCTTGTCATGTTAACAGCACTCCGCCGTCGCATTGCTTTAATTACCCGGACTCATATGCTGGGCGCCACCTAACACCTGAAACAGAAAAAGTGAGAAGAATGCCATATAAATGGGAGCTCATCTGCTTGAAGGGTGCGCGGGTAAGCGGGGGCGTGGCAAATTGCCCCCTTGTTTATCTTAGACCCTGGGAACATCCCATGGTAACTGATATCTTTGTTTACTCAGCTGCGTTGTCAGATGTCTGGCAATGGCTTTTTGCCTTTGTTTGTCTCCTCTTTTTTTTTGTTATGGTTTTTGGTGAAAAATACCTTTGACTGTGGGCGTGTGTCGAGCTAGATGTCTGCACTGCAGGGGCAAGGGGAAATCCATATTAAAATGGCAAAATATCGTCTAGGCCAAAGCAGAAGTTCCCACAACAAATTAGCGAAATCAATTTACGAATTTCATTGAGTTCTCTAACTTTGCCTTGGGGTCAGCAGCATTTAAGGCTCACACAAACACACCTCGGCCCTTGGCCAGAAATTTTTGAGGTCATTGCGAGTTTGGATTTTGATGCCGGGCTAACTTTCGATGCAAAGGCGAAACTTTTAAGTAGTGGCTTAAATTTTATATTTCTACCAAAATGTTCCCTTTGGCCGCCAACGGACTTTTCCAGCCCGTTTGGCTGGTTTAAATGTTTGCTGGGAATTTTAATTCATTTATAAAATATGCCCGGCCCACTCGGCTGCCGTGTGGATTAAGTGCAGGCGCTTGGTCGACTTTTAAATTAATGAAATTCTGTGTGTGTTGCAAGTGTAAGTTAGCCGCAAGCTTTTTGTCTCTGCACCAATTAGCAGACTGCATGGAAACAGCTGCAGACTTTATTTATGTGGACTGAATGTTGGTTGAGTTTTGATAAAGAAAACGCATGTTAAAAATTTCTTCTTTTGGCTGGGTCTATTATTCATCAGATGTTATGGAGGTGCAACAAGTTTGTGAAAGGGAAGCCAGTTCTGCTTTAAAGTTGACGTAGAAGAAGTTTGTTTACTCTCAGGCCGTACCCTTGGAAAGTTATCACTTTGTAGTGGCATTTCACATTTCAGTCCAAGCAGAAACCCAGCCTTGGGTCTGCAATCAGCCAGATCGGTTACTTCAATTGGCAATCTATTGTCTAACCTAATGTTTGCTCTCTTGCGGCCAACGATACGTGGTCTGGGCCCCTGAAGAATTTAGTTTCGGCAAAGTTCCGCCTTCGTTCTTAGCCTGGTCAAATGTTAAATGTTTTCGTTCAGTAACTTTTTAAATGCTTTCACGATACTTGGCCGTGTCTTGCGGCTACCTCCGATACCTCTGGCCAAATCAAAGTGCGCAACTTTTACTTACTTTTCTTACTTTTATTTCTGCGGTCGCTTGGCAACATATTGAATGGAATGTATGCTCCTTACACTTGTTATTTATACAAAGACAAATCGAGGCTGCACAGAGAAGAAACACCTGTCTTAGGTTAAGTTTTAAATAATACTTTCTTTAATATATTAATAAATTTGAATATAACTCGTGGTTTCTCTAAGTGATGCCTTTTCCTGCTGTTCCATAGTTTATTGAATTTGAACTTATGGGGCAACATTAATTTATTTGCCAGCTGCAAGAGCGCTTTCTGTTTACCTTAGACACTCGAAAGTGCAGTTGCCGGAGGATTTGGACTTGGACTTTGAAGGCGGGGTTACTTGTGTATAAGCCTGGGGAATGACATGTCAGTTGGTTGGCTCAGATAGCGGGATTACCGACACATGCAAATTGAAGTCGCTGGACGGATGGAGAGGGATGTCTGCCTGCGTCTAATCCAATTTCAATTGCTTAATCCACCATGACTGACACTAAGAGCCAAGTTGAAAGATGGTCGAGTGGGTTGATGGGTGGTTGGGTGGTTGGGTGGCTGTGCCTTTGGACTCCACATCTTTACGCACCACAGCACTTCAAATACTCGAGCTAGCTATTGAATTACGCACCCACACATGTCAACATATCATGTTACACTTCACTTTGTGTGCGCGCTAAGTAAGTTGTAGTTCGGCAGCCCAGAAACGGAAACGGAAACGCCGCTCCTGCTCCTACCCAACACACACATAAAATCACAATGTTGACCCTTTTATTTCGACTGGAAGTTTTATAACCAAAAGAATCGGGGCTAAAGAAAGCACACTCACACGAAAATAAAGCAGCTCAAGCTGTGTTTGCTTAAGTTTTATGTGTGCACAGATTTTACGACCGAGCTGAAACAGCATCACGTAGCTGAAGGCCCGGCTTAGTGGCCCCTGAACTTTGCTCGGGGTCAGCTGGCAATGGGATGCATTTTAAATGGGCTGATTCTCCTGGATGTCCAGCGAAAAAATACCCACAAAACCAAAGTCCACCTGACAAGCTGCAATGCAAAAAAGGGCCGAACCGTCGAATGAAATTCATTAAAAGTCATTTAAAGGATAATTGTTTTTTTATACACTCTCCTAGCTGCAGGGTAATATTGTGCGCAGGTTAATTAATTCGTGTAAAAATATATATTCAAGTTAATCCAGAAAAAAACTTAAAAGTTGAGGAAAACATTAAAAAAGACTTACACGATTATTCCTGGAAAAACATCAAAAATTTATTATGAAATCCAGACATCCGCCTATAATGATAGATATGCACCTTAGTAAAGGAGCTTTCCATTTTTTTTTGGTAACCAGATTAACTCAAAAAACCCTTTATAGAGCATTCACAGCAGTTTGTAATTTCTGATTGATTTCTTTTGAAGGGATTTCTGCGAGGCCTGCCAACAGGAGAGCAATGCGGTTTAATTAGTGGCATTGACGGGTGTGGTCGTCCAGAAAAGCTCTTGGCCAGCGGTCAGCGATGTGACAGCCCAATAAAATGCGGATGAATTTACAAGTTGGAGGGAATCGGACTTGAAACACGTTTTCAATTAGCAACACTTGCTGCGAAGGCTAATAATGAGTTGACAAATGGCTTGTGTCAAACAAAAGCCGCGCGGAATAAACAAACAAACAAGCCAGCCAACAGACAAAGAGGGAGAGACAGACGGAACACGTCTTGTTGTTCGTGACTTTGTGTGAATGTAGGCAATTTCCCCCACCTAATGTCGCCCTAAAACCACCCACCTAGCTGTCAACTTTGGCCACGCCCACACCCACATACTCCAACGCCAGGCCAAACAGAATTGTCAACTTACAAGGCTTGGTGGCTAAAGTGTCGCGTAATTTATTTTCCACCTCTCGGCGCCGACTGACAAATGAGCTGATAATTTTCCCCGTATCCCGTATCCTTCCATTGTCAAGGACATCGAGGAGGGGAATGGGTGGAGTAGTTAATTCATGGCCTCCACATTGCCTAGTCATCGGAAGGCTTTGTCTAGCCGTTGACAGGAGAAATTAATTTGTGTTTACTTGCCGGTTTGACATTCGTGAGTTATTGATGGCGAATGCGGAATATGGAGTATGCAAATGAGAATAGATAAGCGGGGCAGCCATGTTACGGATCGATCTTAATTACTGGTTAATGTTCGATTGTAGAAAACTGTTTAAATTTTTAATAACTTGTTAATTTTAAGCTGAATTAAAAACAGGAATAGCCTTCCATTTCTTCAAAATAAGCCACTAAGATTCATCTTCATTATGTACTCTCGCCGAGTGCTAAACTTTTAAATGAATATTAATGACTAAATTACACACTCGTATTAAGTCCACAGCCCTCAAGGCCCAGACGATGTTCCGGTTAATGGCTGGCACTCCAATCTCAAGATATATGTGAGACGCCGACATGTACACATTTACGTCCGCACATGGCCTCAGAGTTGTAAAAACTTTTTCGGGCTTGTAACTTAATGACAACTCCAAACCAAATATACGTACAGTGCGTTATATGATTGAATGTCCTTTTCAGATTCTTAACATATTATGTTATTTAAGAAGTAGAGTAATTTATAGAGTTTTCTGTATTTTATAAAAATATGGAGTAGTTAAAATATTTCCCACAGAGTTCTTGTTCTTAAAGCCACGACACGCACCGTTTTGCACTGCAATTTGACTTTAATGCATTTTTAATTTGTGCATGCGTGTGCCTCGGCCTGCATCTGTATGTGTACCCTTATATATATGTATATATATATCCGCTATATGAGAGCGAGTTTGTATGTAAATAGAAAATGAAATTACCGATGCGCTACTTTGTAGCCTCCTCCATTTTCCGGCGGCGGCCATTTTCCGAGAAGGCTGAGCGAATTCCGTTTATGACTATTTTATGCGAACTGCAAATTCTTTTGCACTTTATTTTCGGCGCAGCTTAACATGCAAATTATTATTTGCCCAGTGTGTGCCGTTGCCGTTGGTGCAACATTGTGAGGGAATTTTATATGTGCCGGCGCCCTACAAAATGCCGTGTGCTCTCAGCTCGGGGCGCCTCCTTTTACGGCTCCCTCAACAGCACACTTCAATTTTTAATTCGCCACAGTTTTTTGTTATGTCCCTTCGTTTCCGGTGTTAATTATGTTACTCATTTGTTTGCTGTTGCCAGTGCGGCCAATGAAAAGCTGGCAAAAAGGCAAGAAAAA